TAGATTTTGGTTCTTATTTTTTTTTCGAAATGATTCTCTTTTGGGCAAACTCCGATGTATCGCCCTCTGTATCTCCCACTCTCTCTCTCTCTCTCTCTCTCTCTCTCTCTCTCTTTCTTTCTCTCTATCTAAAAAAAGCAAATTTAGAGACATCATTATAATGTCATCCCCCAAACATTTCATTGTGAACATCTCAAAAATTCCTTGCCATCAAAATAAGACCGTATTATGCTTTCAGCGTGGTTTTTTTTCTACGCATCATTCTTTTTTTTTCTTTTAGCACAGCAAGAATATATTCCGCTTTTTTATGGAATATTAGAAAAAAAAAGGAAAGGATACCACTGAAGCGTACGCGCATCACCTTTGTCATCATTTTTTGCCGTTCTTTTTCTTCATCATCGTTCTGAATTTTATTATGTATTTATTATTATTGTTATCATTGTTATTTTGTTCCATCCATAAGTAACGAAACATCAGTAAAGATTAAATGGAACCCTTGGATGTGTTTTTGTTACTACTGCATCGCCTATTCTATTCATTCCCTTATATTTTATCATCTTCTTCGATTACCTTCTGAAAGATTGTGTAATGTTTTTCATTTCGCTTTACTATTTCATCAGATTTCGTTGGAGTGTATTTGTCAATTATTAATTTGAAGCCTTCGTTTTGTGTTTTTCATTTCTTTCGTTAGTCTTTTGTCTTCTACTGGAATTTTTTATGTACATTTACACTTATACGGCACCAGTTTTTCATTTTTCAACCATTTTTCGTTTCATCAGTAGAAGTAGTAGGTGTAAAGTTTTCTCATCAAATTACACTGACAAGAATCAACTTACAAAAATTTAAATTGATAAAAAAAAATGTCCACTAAAATAAGCTTCATTCTCATTGCATCGTACGTAATTTGTTTCCAATCAAAACTCATTGCTTGAATTTAATCTCACATTCTGAGGCTAACGAAGAATCTAATCGTATTCGGCATCAATAAAAGTGTGCATGCTGTTGCACGCGCTTACTATTAAATTAACTGGTAATCATTTGAGAATATATTTTTTTTGTGTGTGTTGTTTTGTCTCTTTTGTGATTTTCCGTAACAATTCGGGGTTTCGGTGCATTTTCCTATCTAATTTTGAATAAATGAATGAAGATTTGCATTGTTTCGTTGGCCTTTTTGCTTAGATCTTCCCTTTTGTCAGCTGATTGGTTGGTGAAACGCCCAACTAATAAGGCAAAATACACAATACGTGTATAGTTTCGGCACGTGACATAGATTTTTGGCCTTCTGCATGATTCCGATTCAATTGCATGAAATATGATCCGATGAGATACCACATTCTTTACTATTCAATTCGAAATTCATAGAAATTTAATGGCAAATAAAATATTTGTATTTCAAACAACGGCACTTTAACCACACTAAGCCAAACGGAAAACGATATGATTTTGTCTCCTTCACGTTTAGGACGAAATATATTTGTGTCACATTAAATACGAATTGATTTTGATAGGGATAAACCGATGCTGTTAATTATGGTCGTACAATTTTCAAAGCAATTATTATAAATTTGATGAAAAATTTATGGAATTAATCATTGAATTAATATGAGACAGATGGATTGAGTTAGTTTTGATTGGAACCTTTAGAGGTGATGATGCTTTTACACAGCGATTCAGCGACTGGTATCACTAGAAAAAAATCCGTATTAAGACGGAAGTGATTTTCTAAATGAATTTAAGCGCTTGGTGGTCCTGTGGCGTTGTCATTTTTTATGGATACTTTGACTCGATGATGCTTAAAAAAACGCACCCTCGTGTATTTAATCGCATCGTTGTCCTTTCATTTTATTAATATTTGTGATTTATCGGAAATGGTCAACTTTTTTATTTCCGTCTGAGTGTATTTTTTTCACAGACGAATCAATAGTAGTCACAATAAAGTGAAGTAGGAAATCGAAATGCAGAGGAAAGACCACATGGGTTGAAATGTACAAAATTTAAGGTGATTAAACAAGATTTCCTCCAAATTTATTTTATAAACGGTCATATGAACTATTTAGACGCACATTCAAGCTAATCTCCGTATGTCACTTGATTTATGTCAAAGAAAATCGTCCAAGTAACATTCTTATTATTCGTTTTCTAAAATTAACGTCAACAGTCAATACTCCTCTCTCTCTCTCTCTCTCTCTCTCTCTCTCTCTCTTTCAGACTTAAATTTACTAGTATATCTATTTTTGAAAAATGATGAAATTTTTAAAAAATGTTATAAGATTGAAACGAATGGTAATTAATTCATTAATTTTTTTATCGATTAATGTTTCGCTCGCATTTTATTTTTATTTTTATCAGCATGCAAAAAAACCAAATCCGAAACAATTAATTGGGTTTTAAAACAAGTTCAAAAGCATTAAATATGTTGAACATATAAGATGGGGCGTAAAAAATCATCAAACGTAAAAAATGCTTAATTAAATAAGCTATTTTTATATTCTGATAATTTTTTAATGTGTTTTAGTCGATTCATAAAAATAACTGGCGGAAATGTTGACATATACCCGAATATATGTTTTATATTGTAAAATCATTCATAATAAAGAAGAGCTGCTGTTCACTGATTGCCATTCAACAGCATTTTTCTCATATATTGACTGAACTGCAAATCAAAACCAAGTCACGAAGACACTATGAATGATTTTACAAATATTTGTTGACAGAATGCCAATCGCAGCAGTATGAATTTAATATTACGGGTTTATTGGAAAAATCTTCACTTGAACGATTACATTGAATAAACATTGTGGTTCAATAGGCGAAGCAACGAAAAAAATGCTCTATGACAAGACACTTGAAAATGGTTTTCATTACAATCGGGCATCATTGAGCGGAAATTGTATCAATAACTAATTTATAGGAAAATCGTGTTTTCATTCTGTTTGCATCATTTAAAATGCAAACAATATTCGTCGCTTAGTTGAATATTCAACATTCTAATGCTTTTCATTTATTAATTTCGGTTTCTAGTCCCGAACCAAATGCCATTCACTTTGAACCTGTACATATTTTCACCAAAAAGTTTGTGAATTGTGTAAATATGTAGCTGTGTTTTTGAAACAGCGTTAAAACACTAACGCTTATTTTTGAATAAAAAAAGGAAACAAAAACAAAATATTAGTATAGCCGTCAATTTGTATGTGTGACTCATACGAAGCCTTTGCACGTAAAAAGCACGCTAGCATACATAAAAATGTGTTGAACAAACAAATGGATAGAGAAAGAAAATGAAGAGAGAAAAATATGTCGACACGATTCAAAAATCGATTGGATAAACATACAGAAACGCCTTTTGAATAGGTGGAGTTCATGAGTGCCATGTGCCATTCTCTACTATTCGTTGTTTGTTGGTTAGAGGAATACGACTGTATGTTGTTGTCGGGTGTTCTTTTTTGGAGTAACGATGATCCACACATTGGTTGTGCGCACGACTCACTCATCAGCTTTGGCTATCTACACATTCTGCGGTGTGCATGTGAGCATGTTTTTCGATTCATCCTTATTTTGATGTATATAAAAGAGCTCCTTTAGGCTGTTGAACCACCGACGAAAAACGAACATTTCCATTTTTGACTGGCACTCTCCCATATAAATTGCGAGTCGTTTTTTTTTATTTTGAAGAAAATGGTTGTGCGAAAAAAATCAATTTTTCTCTTAATAGCAAACCAACTTTTCTCAATCAACATCGCTTTCATATATGGACAAAGTAAAAAAAAAAACAGAGAACACAAAAACTCACAAAACAAACCCCCTTACCAAGTAGAACAAAGCCTAATGGCCATCACATGTAACTACAGTTAAAAGTTTTCGTCACCACACGCATCAAGATAAATACGGTGGTTATTTTTGATGATTTTAGTAATGAAACTCAAACATTTTTCGGAGAAGGTTAAGATTTTAATTACATCTATTCAGTTGAAGCGCGAAAAAATCGCCCCATCGGCATATTATTTATTTCTTCGATTTTTGAGCGTCTATTGAGGTCCAGTCATATCGTTTCTTTTTACTAAGATTAATTGAAGATTTTTCTATTTTTACACTCACTTTTAGAAATTCGTGATTTTTTGTACTCATTTCAGCAATTCTATGCTCTGCGATTATGTTCAAAAAGAAATTCATTGCATGCAAAAAAAATCTTACATATGTATTTTGCACAACCAGCCGACTTGCGATGTATAATTAATAATTATAAATGTTTTTTTTTTGTTGATACGCAGCAGTACTATGTTGAAAATCTAGTACCATAAATGTAGCGTTATGTACAATTTGTAGGAAAATGTGAATTTTATATATGAGCCATACAATATTTTGAGATGGCTTCATTGGCAGAGAATGTCAGCTGCAAGAAACGATAAGTGTACACTGTACACTGTACATAACCGAAATTGGTGTGTATGTAAAGGTATGCCGCAGGAGTGACAGAGAGAAAAAGAACGAGTAGGAAAACAGGAGAGCTCACCATCATTGTTGTCATCGTTATCATCATTGGGTGTCATCTTGATCATCATCATCATCATCATCATCGTCATCATCTCCAATTGGTATATATTCGGTTGCTATTTTCAGTGCGGTGCTTTTTCCTCCATACTCTTATTACCATGACTATATATGTGTTGTGTAGTAAAAAGTTGTGTGTATGACTTGTATATAGTCATCTGGGCAAAATAAGTTTGTGAAATGCGTTTCTCTTGGTATGGGAAAAATGCGCGGCAGCAGAACCGTTTTTTCCACAATAATTCAAGATGAAAATATGTGTATGTATTGCGTGCTCACAGAAAAAGCGTTCTTCATATAAAAAATTTTTTTTTGTTGTTGTCAATAATACATATTTACAGCGGCACGAAAACAGCCGAGCTTGTTTGCGTGAGTGTACGTGTGCTTCGTAATGTTTCACCTGTTAGTCCTTGTTATTGCCATTTTCAATTTGTTTATTCAGAAAATATCGCACATCGGCGAATAAGTTTTTGAATTGGAAGTGTTTACGAAAGCATCTTGTTCGTACAGCAAACCCATTAGACACAACACACACAACGCATTTTCCAGATGATGTACGAGCAAAACTATCGTTTCAAGTTTAGTGAATTTAATTATACTTAAATATTATTGATACGTTTTTTGGCCTATTTACTACAGCCACTTGGTACATCTACATTTGCATTTTATTTTTACTGGGAGCCATCGTTAAAGTGTGTGCATGTGTTGGCTCTGGTTTTGCACGCGCTTTTTCATGTGAATGTTGGCTTGATCCTGTTTATTGATTGGATTCAAAAAAGTTAATTAAATTTGTCGTTGTTAAGTGTCAATTGATGAGTCTCTGTGTGCATTTTTTTTCTATTCAAATTAGTGACAATGAACTAAATAAACTCATGGAAAATCGATATATTGCCGTCGTTAGTTTCAAACAACTCGTGTTATATTCCATATAATCAAGCAATTCGTTTGGGGTAGAAAAACCTATTCGTTTGAGCTGAAAATTATTTGATTGAATTGATGAATGGTGAAAAATATCAATGAAACATTTGAAGAAAAATGTACATCAACAACTGAAAATAAGTGAACAAATGGTGTGCTATCGAGATATTAATCCAAAAAATCCCGATAAAATTTTTAAAGCACCTGTTATAAGAAAGAAAAAAATCACTAGCTTAAAGACGAGAATTTCAACGAAGCAACTGTTTATTTTCATTCTTCAAAAATCCAATAAAAATACCGCATGCAATGAAACCAACGCCTCTCGATTACTTTCACCACAGTGATTTTTCTAATTTTGACTGAAGAGGGAGAAGAGACCCATTATACACACAATTTCAACCACATGTGGTAAAATATATATCAAATACTTAAACATATTAAAGCCTCGTATGCAGATTTTCAATGAGACTCTCAAGCAGTCTCAGCAGAAGAAAAAAAAATGGTACAAATGCGAAATGTGATATTGCTCTTTTGACTCTGAAAGGAAAAACAATAATAACTTCAACAACCCCTTTCAATTTTCATTTGAAGTTCAAGCCGCCTCTCTTTATTGAAAATGCCATTTATTTCTTTCAATATAGTCAAAATGTGCACATAGTGTCAATTGTATGTAATGAGCAAAAAATGCTCATTATTGGAATATCAGTTACCACTTCAGGATCAATTGAGTTTAGCAACAGATGCTAAATTTCAAGGAAAGTAATACAACAAGTTTGCATAATTCTTTACTATGTGTTTGCAATTACCGATTTTCACATAAAACTGAAAAAAGAAATCAATAGAAGTGACAAGAGAAAGAAAATGATAATTTCATAAAACTCCGAAAAAGCATAACCGTACATTCACTTTGCAATTAATACTATTATTATTTATTCAAAGTTTGCTGAATGTTGCAGAAAATGATTAATTTCTCTGAGAAAAAAAACCATGATCAATTCTCATTGAAATGAATGTATCTCGGTCAATAATCGATTTGTTCATAATTACTTATAGTTCGCTTAGTCAAATTCCCATACGTTGGAATTGCAATTGGCTAGTACTACTGTCGGTATTTTGTATAATTAGAAAATGTGGCATTATTTCATTGCTCGTTTAAAATGATTGCTAAAAAAACCCCTCACTAAGCTGAAAAAAGAAATCATCGATCAAAGGTGTCAACACCTTTTTCGTTTCCGTTTGTTGTGTGCACCATTTTGAACTAGTTCGACTTCGTAAATCGGTGTAATCAAGTGTAATTAGCCATTTGCGTGCAACAAAGCTCGTATATTTTCAATTCAACGTTCTGAGCTCAATAATAAATATATATTGAAATGAGTTTTTAATTCCGCGGCCACACACACCAAACCTGTGTTAATTCACATCACACCCGTTTTCTCTCTCTCTCTCTCTCATCTTGCTCGTTTTACACGTCTTACATCACAAACTCCTATGCGATGAACTCATAATTTAGCCTTTAAGACGCAAATTATTGTTTACTAATTCAATTCAAAGCGGTTTGTATTCAAATTTACGAATTTGATACAAACAACTACATGATGTTTTCTCAAATACAAATGGTAGAAATCGTTTTTTTGCGGCTGCAGTAGCCACACCAGATTTCTGATTGTGAATTATGAAAAAGGTGAAACTAAGAATGAAATCTGTTTTTGGTGCTATGATTGGGCTTTTCGCCAATAGAACATTCATTTAATTCTCGTTAATTCTAATTAATGTGCTTAAATCCATAATTTAAACTGTCATCATTTGGCGATTATTTACCTTTTTATATGCGATGTACTTTTTCTACACACACTTTGCGAATGGATGAACATCATACCGGAAATTTTTAATATTTCATAGACGTTGCACATTTGGACACTTTTTCGTTATTTTATAAAATGGAAATGAATGTTTGTTCAACCATTTGTCGATTTCTTCTTCTGAAGAAAGTATTGCGAATGCAAAGTTGAAATATAAAAACAATTGACTACAGAGTCTGTAGTACAGACCCGCGCTATATTATTCTTGCCATAGACCCCAAATAAATAATAGTTTTTTTTATTGAAGATAAATAATTGTTCTTTTCCAGTATATGATAATCGTTTGGCCGCCTGAACTCAAATTCATTTGCCTTTAAAATGTGGGGTAATACTCTCGGATCTGGGTAAGTTTTATGTAACATTTTCTTTATTTTTCTCAAAAAGGTATATCATTTTCCATAAATATTGGATTCAAAATACATAAGCATCACCGCCTTCTTTCTGGTCTTTCAATGAACATTCTTCCATTTTATCACATTTTTCATTTCTATCAATGAATTGCTTTTGGACTGTCCGCCCGAATATTCTTTTAGGCATTTAAAAATGTAAGAAAACTCAAAAATCTTCATTAAAAGAAATGAAATTGGAAACTCAAATTCTGAAAATATTTTAAAAAAATAACATCGACGGTAGAACAACGTATGATATAAAAATTCTGATGATAAATAAATGCATTCATGAGCATAAAATAATCATAACAATAATGCTGGCGACAATGACAAAGAAAAATAAAATGTCAAAGTTAAGCCATTTAAATGTCGTCTTGGAAAAGAAATAAAATTAAGCAATAGATTGAAAATGCCAATAAGAATTAGTCGCATCTATGTATCTAAATATTTTTTTTCAAACGAAAATGCATCGCGGAACCAAACAACAAACATATTGACCATATTGTAAAAGTGATTACTTTATTTGTTATTTATTGTTGTGATCAAATTTTTCATCGAGAATTTCTTTTCATGTTTTATAGTTTCGGAAGTGAGTTTTAAGGCGATTTAAAAATTTTTCTGATTTTTCTAACGCCAACCATAAAGTTCTTATAAACGTATTAAATTGGGATTTAAAATAACAAAAAAATGTGTGAGTAACATTTCTTGTCTGTGGTTTGGTGATTTAAACGATTCGTGGAGTCAAATCAATGAATGGTTAATTGTGTTTGTGTCTCACATTTATTTTTTCCTGTTTATGAAAACTAAGAGATTTACACTTTTCACTCGATTTTCTTTACCATGATCGAAACGACAATTGTCGTACCTGTCGATGATACAATACTTCGCACGGAAAAAAGATAAAATTAACTGTTTTAGTATGATTTTTCAAAATTGAAATAATGAAATAAAATTAACCATCATTTTAACACAAATAAAATGTATTTTAAAATCACATTACTCACCGTGCCGATTAAATGCCACGTGATGAGATTTTGCTATTTTATATTCATGACAGCCCTTTTTTTCATTGGCGCAAAGATCACGCGTTTAGCACGTTATACGATAAAATCAAACGTGCAAGTTGAAAATAAACAATTTAAATGCGCTTGCTTGCAGCCACCATGCAAAATATGTGTGTGTATTTCATTGTGCATGTATGTACCCAGCGCATGCATGTATATATAATCACCAGCTAATTAAAGCATATGCCAAATGCTTTTTTTTCTAGTCTCTGATACACCCTTTTCAATCCGACTGCCCGTTTTTGTTTGATGTTTTGGTGCACATCTGTCATACAAACGGCACCGTACACTATAGTGATCTTACTTTACCGCAGCTATTCAATTTATCCAACTAGAGTGGATGCGCTGAATTATAACCGAAAATAATGATAATGAAAAACATTTAACAAGCATAAAATGATTACAAATTTAAGATAACAAAATTCATGGGAAAATAAATGAGTGCATCAAATTAATGCTAACGATAGCGTTCTATATTGATGATTGTGGTATTTCCTTTGAAAATAGCATGTTACATCGATGGTTTTGATTTCACCTACGCTCACAACATTTTGCCGCCTCATTCACAAACGAAAAAAAAAGTAACAAAATTTTACTTTTATTCAATTTGTTTTGATGTTTTTATTCTCATTTATTCCCCTTCATTTACTCTATTTTGTACATCGTATATTCTAGTGGTAAAGCGATTTATTGTCATAGCTTCGTTTATTATATTATGGGTAAAGTAGATTTTTTTATTGTAATTTTTCGAGTGAATTGAGCACTTTACTCCTTTTGTAGTTTCAATTCCATGGAAACATTACAACTCGAAAGACCGACTGTGCAAAATCATTATATAGAACAATCTTTGCATGCTTGCGAAATGTTTCAACCTCATTAAGATAATGACTATCAAATCGCTTCCAATTTTACCTTAATTAAATGAATAAATGTTTTTGCTGTTCGCATTGTCGAAATGATCGCTTATGATAATGAAACGATATACAGAAAAAAGATAAGCAATCAACGAGGGAGGCATTTCAATTCGGTTGCTAGTGAAATTGCGTACAGATTACTTCCTTGCCAAAGGATTACCTTTCTCTTCAACTCTCAGCCGAGTGGATGACTTATTTTGGTAACGTTCGCCGTTTCCTCTGTTAAACACATTTCGAGCATTTCCATAGAAATTAATCACCCGCCGATACACGTACTTATGAAGCAAACGCTAGCTCAGGCACACATTTATAAGCTAAATGATTTGGACTAATGCTTTTGCCTATCGGCCGCTATTAACATATGTATCATTTGTGTGCGTGCGTATGGAAAAGATTGTTGTTTTTTTTTCCAAAGATAAATTCTTTGTTCAGAAAAGTATTGAATGTGTGCACACGTAGAGTACACCAATTACCAATAAAAAAACATTTAGTTCGACCAACAGTCGATTTCTTGTATTTAAAAAGTATATTATTTCATTTCTTTTGTTTTCAGGTGTTCACCGGACGATTTAGGCTTTTCAACCTTTGCAGCAGCAGCGGCCGCATCAGTCAATACAACAGCACCATTTTCAAGTATGCCTTACCTCAAAACATCGCCATATCTAATGGCTGTCGATCCTCTACATTCAATGGGATATTCAGCCGCAAGTATGTAACAAATACTTTTCTTTTATTATTTTGCAAATGTTGTTTTGCACATACTACAGATACAAAATTCCAATATATTCGATTGTTGAAAAATCAGAAATAAATAAAAAATCAAATGTGAAAATGATTTATTGGCACAAAACACGATGCGAATGAGTAGATAATTGTTTCAGTGTGTATTTGTCGATTTTATGAAGCATCAGTGCCATCCCAATTAGTAGTGTTGTTTACATATGCAAAAAATGCCCTGCAGTTGTTTGCTTTGGCATTAGTAATGCCCCCAGCAACAAGCGCGTCGTTGAGACGATTACAATGAATAGCTGGTGTTGTTTGTGACGATGGACGGCATGCATTCCAAACTCATCATGAAATTACACGCGGCAAGTGTTTTGCTGCTTAAGCGAATTGGTTAATGTTTTCGGCGTTTGTTGATAAATTCAGAACATTTTTAGTGCATTAAACATTTGCTTGCTTGCGGTCGATAGAGTTATTGTGCCAAAGCCCCACTTATTTGCACTCGTATACACACACAAGCACACCACCAAATAAACAATAATAAAAGGCACGTGTGTTAAATTAAACGATTTGGGTAGTTTTACAAAAAAAAACTTAATACTCACATAAAACACTGCTGTAAACAGTAGCAGTCAGCATTGAGAGGTTTTTTTATGAAGAGTAATTCTTATTTTGATAATGGATTCTTACTTTAATGGCGAAAAAATCAGACAGTACAATTATGTTAGAAGAGAAAATGCATTTCGTGGTATTTATTTATTCTTTTACGATTGAACAAAAAAAATATGCGCAAATATAGTTATTAAAAAAAAATCATGAATTGAAATAAATAAAATTGAAAAGGCGTTCTGTACAAAGGACACCAATTAAATATAAAGATTACCACAAATATTCGTTACTATGATTCGTAGCAAATCAGAGGAAGCAACGACGTGAACGCACAACTTTTACTCGGCAACAGCTCGATCTATTGGAAACATTGTTTCACAAAACACGTTACCCGGATATTTTTATGCGCGAGGAAGTCGCTCTCAAAATTAATTTGCCAGAGTCTAGAGTTCAAGTAAGTAATAAATTTTATTCATTTCTATTTTTAGTGCCTTTTTTTCACTTTATTTGTGATTAAGTGTCCAAACTTACTTATAAATATTGATTTCTCGCTGTCTTTCTTCTTGGTTGAAATATTTTCCATAAAATCACAATAACAAAAAAAAAAGTAGTAAAAAAAATACAATGAAATGTTTTTTGTTCGAAATACGAACAGACTTTGCTACAGACATTGAGTCCTGGAAAAAAATTCATGATCACGTACCAAAAAACGTGACCTTTCATAATAATGAGTAAGCGGACACGAGTGTGTAAATCTTTTAGCGACTGACTTTCATTTATATTACGAACGAATAAATTTTGTGATTCGCACATGTTGTGTAGTTTTTTTTATAAGAGTGTGCAGCTGTGCGTGCTGCAGTCTAGATAGTAGCTATTTCATAATTTCATTAAAATATTCGTTATTCAGATATACATATAATTCGTGTCGCTCTCATAAATTAGATTAATTTCATCATTTACCATAATATTAAACATGCATACACGATTTAAATATTGTCTCAACTTATCTCAAGGTTTGGTTTAAGAACCGTCGAGCAAAATGTCGCCAAATTCAAAAGCAAAATCAACAACAACAAACCAGCTCTTCAACCACTTCGAACACACAATCGGCCACAACAACAACAACGGCAGCATCTGGTAATTAATCCAACACTTAAATTGGTATATTAATTAATAAATTATTCCAAAATCTACCTTTTCCTCCGTAGGCATCGGGAAAATTCGAACTGTACCGATGACCAAAATGAAAGCAAAACCAACAACGAACATTTCAAATTGTGCCACAAATAGGTAAACATGAATATTGGAGCGAATTTAAAATTATTTATAAAAAAGACGAGTAAAAAATTTAATTAATTTTTTCATTCAAAGTCCAATCAATTCACCGACAACATCCGCACCAAGTTTACTTGATTCGCCCAATTATTTTAAAATGACTCAAAATATTTTCACAACACCATCACATACGGTGGGTCATTTCGAGAGTAATCAATTGTATTTTGAAACTTCTATTTTAATACATTGTTACGTACATTTTTTATAGAATTTATCGGCTCTGTCTTCAAGTAACAACAGTGGAAATTCCATTTGGTCGCCCACAATGCTGGAAAATACGACATCCACGGGATGTTTAGATAGTAGATCGTGGAATCAAGCCGCTAGTGTATCATCCGCTCCGAATTCTTACCAGAACTTTTCCGGTTACTATTCGAACCTAGATTACTTGGGTTCGAACATGCAACAACAACTGGTGAGTCTCTATTTCGATTTTTTAGGTTTATTTTATTTTCAAATATTCTATATTCAATTTCATACATTTAAAAGTATGTTTTTGGTTTCATTATAATTTTATAGATACAGCAGTTTTGAATGCCTTGAATACTTAAGAAAATATTAAACAAAAAATAAACATTTTTCTTTCAGCATGAAAATGCACTGGAAAGTACCTGGATGAAGCGTGAAGAAAATTGGTTTTATAACAATCCCAACTGGGATGCTCAACGAAAATAAGCTGAAATGATTATAATTACTATAAGTAACTGATGTAAAAGAATGACAAAAAAAAATCGGTGAATACATATCGAATACCAAAATATTTGTATTTTATATCAAAAAAATGTGTAAATTGTATAAAAAATAAACAATTCAAAAGAAGAATGACAACGATCACACCATAAATTAATACAGAAAAAAAATTAATAAAAAATTGTTTTGTTTGGTATATTACCAATTTAAGTACTTCTATCTTATCTGCTATAATTTGGCATTTTATTTTTGCCAATTGAATGCAATATTTGATTGCAGTATGGAAATACCATAATATGGCACAGCCTGCAGCATACACTAAATTATTCTCATGGATACGCTAATCAATGGGCCATTTTCTTACTGCCAAGTTTGTGCATTTAATTGGAAGTAGTTTCAATGGATTTAATTTCAGTACTTTCGCTCCAGCCGGATTCGAACTCTTCAATGTCACTGTCATCGTCTATTGATCTTTGTATTGGTTTCTCTTCAAGAATACTTATTTCCTCATCGTCTGGGAATATTTTCTCCTCGATGCTGCGCGAAATAAGTTCGGCACGCTTTCGACGACTCTCTTCAGATCGTTGGCGAAGGTTTTCACGTGTTTGCTCCATCCACACTGAATTCGTCCAATACCAATGATACCAGCTCAATAAACTGATTGTCATGATGAAAAAGAGATTTACGCCAATTCCTAAAAACAGATTGCATTAGAATTAATGTTGTACATCTAAATCGATAATAAATGCAGTGAGATAATACCTATTGAAGCAGAGAGTATTGGCCAATGAAACATAATATACCGTAGACCAGAAAAATGTGCAGTTATATGTAGTGTAACCGAATAGAATTGAATTTGCTTCGATTGAATTTCCACGAAAACATCTGTAACTGGATTTTCTTGATCATCTTCGTAGCTTGAAAACACTTCAACTGCGATTTGTTGTATTTCCTCTTTGAAACCAAATATAATCAGCGGACTCATCACCAAAGTTGATATTGTACGCGCCAAATCTGACCGGTAATGAAGCATGGTCGAACGACATGCGTGATTCCGCATTTGATTTCCTTTATCGCGCATTTCAGCACACACCATAAACATTCCCAGCCGTAAATTTTGTTCGCTTTCCGGCATATTTATGTTTATTGATATACGATACGGTTGACCGACCATGAGCAATTGCTGTTTCTTTGTTAAAAGAACATGAGCCTGCGGAAACGAACATGGTCCAATGATTTCATCACATGGCCTGAAACATATTTTTATATAAGATTTTAATTTTTATTGGATAAAATGGGAAAATAAACTTTTTTACTTACTTGAATTGCATGTGAACTGGACGTGTATGAGCGATGATTGGTAAATATGTGTAATAAAATGCAATGTACATAAAAACAGCCATCCAAATGATAACAGCAGCAGCCAATGCAAGAATTGCCAATTTAATCATCACTTCGCTAGCTGAAATCACTCCTTGTGTTGTGCGATTTCGATAGTCATCGTAGGTGTGCTGCATTCGATCCAGTACTGGCTGAACAAAGTAACCACGCATCATCTCAAATGGCATCATCAAAATCATTGTAATTAAACCCATTCTTAATTACAATAGCTAAATTCTTATTTATTTCAAAAACGGTTGATGTTCACAAAGAAAATTCAAAACATTTGAATTTCACATTTGTTATTGAATCGACAAAATTGATACAATAACACTAACTAATTTATATTTGGAATTGAGTTATATGAGATCAAAGTCCTTATTTACGTCAACTAAAGCAAGACTTTGTCAACAAATTTATTTTAATTTCAATTTTTTTACACACCGAAATTGAGCATAATATTTTTCAAGTTTTGTTTTTATTTGGTACATTCGTTGGTTGACAATGTATCCAATTTTCAATCGTTTCAGATGACACTTCGAAATATGACATAACCTCACTTTTTGGTATTTTGTTTATAAAGAGCAATCGCGCATTCAAGAATGAAACTTACAACAACTGACCAGAAACTACGATAAGCTATCACTTTCAATTTATAAAAAAATATACAATTGTACTTGTCGATCTTTACATGATTTAAATTCATACATTTAAATACGAAAAGTATAACTCTCGGTGTTTCGAAAATGGACAACCGTTTGAAATTCGAAAATTGATAACCGATTTTGTATTATTCAAATTACTAAATGATTTGAAAATTATTAAAAATACTGAAAAGATTTCGATTTTTTTGATTGAAGTTTGTGTCTGTCGCATTTCTTTCTTACTTTTCATCGCTGTTTAATGATATTTTTATTGTGGTATTTTGTTTTCAGTGGTTTCCTATATTCAGTTGTTCCACTTTGGCAACACTTACTCAACTTTGAAATCGCAACTTGTCAATTTTTTCAGCCGCGAATGTGAGATATTTCAACATAAGATTTATTGACCATTTAACGAATATTATTATAAAACACTGAAGATATTTTTATCGGGTATCAATTTTCCGTGTGTTGTGAATAAATACTTAATTTTTACATTCGGAACGTTGTTTCATTGCGTCAATATCGACTGACAATGAAAAGGGAGATATTTCTGCAACGTTTTGAATGTGCGAATATAAATTAAGTTTCTATTCACAACACACGGAAAATTGATCTACCAACTGCTCGTTCTTCACCGTGACAGAGGCTTTTTTGGTAAAACGGTAAAACAAAAATCAACACTATAAAATAAAAAAATTGATCAAAAATGACATAATTGCTGAAAGAATCTAATTGAAATAATTTTGATCTTGCTACGTTTCAATTTATCACATTTCTTGGTTACAAAAACACAGATGAAAGTAAATTTTATGCAAGGTAAGTCATGTATGATCATTTATTGTCATTGAGATTTAAAATTATGAACAAAAACATTTATTTTTATCGCAACCATTTTTTCTTCCAAAAACAACTGAATTATTAGTTTTAAGACTGGATTATTCAGTTTTCTTTCAATTTTTACGTTATAGTTTTATGAGCGGATGGGCAATATATTATTTCGGATTTCAATTTTTACATTTCCTTTTCTCTGTGGAATACGCTGCGATTAATTACATACTTATAGTTACGATATCCAGATTCTCTCAAACAGGTGATTGCATCGGTAAATCGTTCGGCGTACACTTCTCGTATATTTAGAATCCCGGCAGTTTTTGCAAGATCTGCATAGTATTTTTTATGACCCACATCCAAATTTGCCCCCCGTTTGCATTTGATACCCTTTTTCGTTTGCATTTCGATTTGAGTTTTCAAATCTTTTGACATCACTTGCTTTGTTGGCATTTTTTATTTCCAGAGATAAACTCCAGTGCGAAACGTGCCTAAATTAGAATTGTTAAAAATTAATTTTTATTTGAAGAGCACAATTTTGTTTGGATTAAAAAATCAAAAAGGCAACAACCTTATCAAAACTGGGTGCTAACACATTCTAACAGCAAAACATGAATAATTTCTTGTACATTGATTTATGAAAATAACATTTTAGCCTGCAAATCACAGATGCGATTATGAATTCCTTTGGAAGGAATCTAGTAAATATAAAAACGTGTAAATAACAGAGGATATGATAACAAAAATGTGTTCGATGATACCCCAATAAAAGCCATTGTCGGATGATTAATATTCAAAACTTGCTTGTATAAAGGAAATGCAGTCGGGATTTTATGAAAAGGCGCCGAAAAGTATTGAAACAATGAAATTCCTGATTTTTTTCGTCTCAAATTCTATACGTTTTACATGAATTTTTTCTTGAATTCAAACTGTAGTCGACTGCATTTTCCCAAAATTTGCATTTTATTTTAACATCCATTGTATTCCAAACACCGTTATTTGGTATGATTATTTTAAACTTTAAAATTACAAAAAAAAAATATGTAGACACATGTTACCATTGCAAAACAAAGGGATGTATAATATGACAATAACACATTATCATTCTTTAATCTCAACTATCTAGAAAAGAATAAGAATAGGTAGAGTTAATCCTTCGCAACCAAAAAATGAGGTCACAAAACATACAATGCTGTAGTCCAAAGTGCAGAAAACAATAAGTTTTCAGCCGCAGACGAATTATACCAACGATGTTATTATTTTGAACTATTTAAACGTATCTTTTGATGCTAAACCAGTTTTGCTTACTGCTCGAATGTGTGAAATATTAGTAGAAAGAATTCTCCAAAGTTGTCAACATTAAAGTTATTTCCATTTAAATTTAAATAATATTTGCAGATCAAAAATGGAAGAAATGCAAGAAATGCAAGTGAATGATCTTGAAACGGCATTCATGACTGCAGTATTCACACCCAATATTTCTAATGTAAGTATTTATCATTTTCAAAACGTCTTTTATTTTGATATCTAGCTTATTTTTATTTTATTTTTTTAAAAATATTGTCATTTTTCATTAACAGGACTTTGGTTACTTATCAAAAAACGTCTTAAGTGAAGTAAACGAAATTGACATGGATGTGGATATTTTAATGCTTGGCAATAATCTCAACAAGATGAATATATGCCGATCGGAATCAAAGATAGAAGTAGTCATCAAAACTCAAAGCTATTCGGGTGGTACAAAACGGAAAGCTCAAGATACAGAGCAAGCTGAGGGTCAAAAGTCGAGAAGAAAATCAGAACCAAAACGATTCAAGACATTTGCAAATGAAGATGTACAGAAAACACCAATGAAGGCCAAAGAAGCAAGAAATGGTGCCGTAGGCTGTGTATTTCGTCGATTGAAGCGGATTCGTTTGCACCCTGAATGCACCAAATCTATTTCTCAATCGGCCCAATCTACAGCTGGAAAGATGCAAAACAGTAAAACACGACGGTCATTGCAGTTTTAAAGAAAGAAATATGCATGTAGTCACATATTTTTAATGTATAACATGGAAACATTTATTGTAACTTAGTATTAAAATAAATAAAGAAGCATAAAAGAAAACATTTATTTTTTATAATTTATATTTCGAAAAAATACCATATAATATTGGAAATTATTACAAGAAACAAAAAAGCACTTCAGATAATCAACTCTATTTGACATTGAACACAATAAAAAGTATGGATCCGTTTGTCAAACGAACTGTTCATAGATAAGCTAGGGGACGGAAACCATTAGCTAGTTTTTTATATTTCGAGTATAAACTAGGAAAATTAAAAAAAAACTAGCAAAAGCTAGAAAAATTAGCAAAAATTATTTGATCCGCCATTTTGATATTGTGTCTAAATCAATTTTACAAGTCGACTATTGAAAGAAACAAGTATTTCATGCACGATTTTGTGTCAGTACAATCATTTGATTGTCATTTGACAGAACAAAAAACTAGAAAACTAGCAATTTCATAAAGGAATATTAGCATTATTAGATTATTCAAGCAATAAACTAGTAAATTAGCTATAAACTATAAAAACTAGCATTGGTTTATCTCCCCTAATAGATAAGCAATCCGTTTTTGAACTTTGAACTTTGAGCAGAATCTGTATGGTTCTCTGAACATAGTGCAAAACAACTTTATGGTCCAATTTCTAGATTATTCATACTGAAATTTAAATATGGAAACATAAACTGAGGCGATAAAGTGTAATTAAGGTAATTAATAAGATAATTAATTATATCGATCTCTTTTTTGTATTGGACTATGAACTATATAATTACAAAATATTTGGTAACAAAAGGTCCCGGTAATAAAACATGCAATATTTGTGCATGTACCGAAAAGGTGAGTTTGTGTGTTACTACTAATAACTAATGATATGTACGGAACCTTCCAAATGAAAGTGTATGCGAAAAAAAAGTATAAATATTACCTGCTAAATATTTTTAAATCATTATCAATCTCACTTCTGAACAGTAAACATCAGTAGATCGAATTCTCCAAGTTGTCCAATATTTTACGGATATTATTTCGCTTCGAATTCTAATCATTTTGAAAAAATTGAAAAACCTAACCATGGACGCAATGCAAATTAGTGAAGTTGAATCAGCAGTATTCACAGACATCTCTTCCGATGTAAGTATTCGTAATTTTTCAAAGTTCTTTTAATTTGATAACATTCATTTTTTTGATGAATATTCTTTTATATATATTTCCATTTTGAAATTAATTAATCATTTTCTTTTTTTTTTCTTTTTTCAGAGTTTAGAATATTCAACGGTAACATCGCAAGGCGCTTTTAGTGAATATCATGAGGCTTGCATTGATGAAGATATTTTAATGCTTGGCGGTACTCTTGAAAAGATGAACTTAAATAACAGCAAAATGGAATTGAATGCCTTCCCGGAAAATGTGTCAGCAAAAAGAACTTTGATGCGTGACACTCAAGAGGAAGATGTACCCAAGACACCACCAAAATATGCTAGTAAACGAAAAGCTCAAGATATGGAGCTAGCTGATGGCTTGAGATGCCGACCAAAGGCAGTTCCAAAACGTTTAAAGGCAATGGAAGAAGGACACACACCAATTACAACGAAAGATGCACAACATTTGGTGGCAAATGTTTTACTCCACCGAATGAAACGGGGCGTTTTGCACACTGGCTACATTAGATCGATTTCTATGTCCGACCAACCTGTTGCCGGGACGATGAAAATGAGCGAAAAATCACTAAATAAAATGAGACGATCATTGCAGTTTTGAAGAAAACAGCATCCAATCAACCAGTGAAAATTCATCAAATGTATTTACTTATCACATGTTTTTTTTTCTTTCGATTGTATACAAAAATTATGCATAAATAAATAAAAATTATATTCAATGGAAATTTCAAACGTTTAATTATCTATTGCATTATAGAATCTTGCCAAATTTATATGGTTGTCTCTGTCACTCCCATGAAAGTTTATCAGTGAATCTGGTTCAAAAACCCCAGCAAAGCGGAAGATATTCCTCTCGTCACCAAAAACCCTAGCAAAGTAACAGACAATATATTGGGCTGAATATTCATTTGAAATAAAACGAAATAGCACACTATTTTTAATAAAACAATAGAAGTGATTGTTATAATTATTGTACCAACGTAAGTGTTTTATAACCACAACAATCACATCTATTGTTTTATCAAAAATAGTGTGCTATTTCGTTTCATTTCAAATGAATATTCAGCTCAATATATTGTCTGCAAAGTAAAAGAATTCTTTGAAAGATTCGTAGGGGCTTACACTTCGTCCCCTCAGTGAGGACGTATAGTGTGCACCTGTGCATAGCGCACATGTATACTAATACAAATATGATACATGTTATTTTGGATGTACATTGCGTATGTATTTATGAAAATAGTAAAACGAAGAATATTTATATATCATATGTACTCCCTAGCTTCTGATCTCGGTGGTTTATATTTTCAGGCAAGGGTGAAACTACTGCCACTACTGTAATTCGTATAATTTAATTTAGTACAAAAATAATTCCAATCAATTCCAAATTTATTCACTTGTGTGATGCTAAACGTATATGCAGTCCAATGCTGTAGTGCTGAAAGTCCAACTAAACTAAAAAAAATATGCGTGCCAAATTGTTTTCAAATACGATAGGTGAAAATCATGCATTGAAATTTGAAGTACATTGAACATTTTTTTAATAAACATTGTACTAGATTCATGAACAGAATGGAATAGAATTTGATGGAACTGAGTAAAAATGACACATTCGAATCTAGTACCGCTTTGTTTCTTTTATGGATTTGACAGAAGTATACTTCTCTACTCTTTCACTCTCATACAATTAGCTATTTCATGCACACATAAAACAGTAGTATTAGAAATGTTTAAATAACAAAAGTAAAAAATTCTTTTGGTATTTTCATACAATCAGTGTGTCAACCATGGGGCGAATCACGCTAGTGAATACTAGAAAAACTAGTAAATCTAGTGCGAAGAATGACGTCACAAACGAAGCCAACTTCACACCAAAGGACATATAATTTATATGAAAAACTACTGAGAGCCAACTTCACGCACTAGAATTTTCTAGTTTTCTAGTGAATTTTTATCAAAAACTAGATGCACTAGAATTTAGTGATTGACCCCATGGTGTCAACTGTGCTGTAGTTACGATTGTACGAAAATACCAATAGATTTTTTGACTCGTATTAGTAAATTCGCAAAATACCAATTGATTTACACAATTGTACTACTAGTGTTTTGTGTGTGTGCCAAATTGGTTTCTTTCAGTTTGCAAGAAATGCCCTAATGCATTCCAATAAAAAAAATCAATATTTCAACAAAAAACCATTGTGGCAGCACATAAATTGCAAGATTTGAACAATTTCTTGAATACTCGAAAACTCTTCTTTAATTGAAATGTCCTGAAAGAAATATTTAAAAATGATTACATTTTATATAATAATAGTGCCTTTAATTATGACATTAACCTTAGACCCGTCCCTCGGGTCAAATTGACTCGAGGTATATTCTTTTGCAAATTAAACATACAAAAAATCAAAAATATAATCAAACCGACCGGCCACTCTTTATTATTCACAACCGGCTAAGCCTATGAAGAGACAAAATGCGAATTCCCCTCATCTGTGCCATCTTGTATTCCATAGTTGAACTCCCATTATTTACAATGAATTGAATCGAAAAAGAGAAAAAAAAACAACAACAGTAACATGGCTACATAGATCTGTTGACCAGTGAGATACGTATAACAATGGAATGAAAGAATGAAGAAAGCGTATATGTGTATGTATGCATCAGCACGCATAGATGTACAGCTCTGTGCGGCCGTGCTATTGTTGTTGTTTTTTTCTCTTTTTCATTTCAATGCTACAGAATTAAATTCAGTTTTTCGATCTAATTCGAACTAATGTGAGGTGGCGCTGATCAGCTGCGTTCGCATAAAAAAGTTCCCAATCTCATATACGCCAACCCCGCTTGATTATTCACCAATGACACCAAGACAATTTTGTATTTTACAGTGTGTCCATGACATATAGAAATAGCACTAAATAGTGTCGATATCTATACTATATCGGTGCACTATATATATATATAAGATATTCCGCAAGACACCGTAGCTCACGATCGAAGTGAGTGCGGACGGCAAACATGTTGACGCATACACACAGTTCTTTCTACTGCCGCACGACAATTTGTGATTTTTTCCGTCTACACTAACTTCGATCGTGCGATACGGTGCCGTGCGGCAATATCTTTCATATATAGTGGACCGATATAGTATAGATATCGACACTATTTAATGATATTTCTATATATTATAGACACACTGGTATTTTATAAGCACAAACAGGCGCCAATTGATAGTTTATTTCAAGACCTTTCCAACGATATTCAAATACCAACTGTAAGTCAAGGGGCTGAGCCTCAGTGGCTGTAGGAAAATTGACCATTATTCAACATTGAAAGACCGGCCACGGCCAAAATGGCGGCAGGATCAAAAAGTTTTAGAACAAAAAATGTTTAGCTTATCTTGTACTATAATCCCTGAAAGTTTGAAAAAGATCGGACTCAACTAAGTTTTACGCATATGTAAAAATACACATGTGATACATAAAAGTATGTACATATGTGATGCACATACTTATGTGAATATTTGATACTTGAAGTATTAATGTATATTGATATATAAGTATCAGTATCATAGAAATAAAATTGATCATTCATGAAATAATTGAGCTAGTTCTTAAAAAAATGACCATTTCCAATCTGACCCATAGAGACGGGATTAAGTTGTAAACACCACAGACGGGTCTAAGGTTAAACACTTCAATTTTTTAAAGTATAATTTTTATTTATTTATGCATAATTTTTGAATACAATCGAAGAAAAAAAACACGTGACAAGTAAATACATTTGATGAATTTTCACTGGTTGATTGGATGCTGTTTTCTTTAAAAATGATCGTCACATTTTACTCAGTGACTTTTCGCTCATTTTCATCGTCCCGGCAACAGATTGGTTGGACTTAGAAATCGATCTAATGTAGTCAGGATTCAAAACGCCCCGTTTCATTCGGTGGAGTAACATATTTGCCACCAAATGCTGTGCATCTTTCGTTGTAATTGGTGTATGTCCTTCTTCCATTGCCTTTAAACGTTTTGGAACTGCCTTTGGTCGGAATCTCAAGTCATCAGCTAGCTCCATATTTTGAGCTTTTCGTTTACCAGCAGTAGCATATTTTGGTGTCTGGGGTCCATCTTCCTCTTGAGTGTCACGCATCAAAGTACTTTCCGGTGACACATTTCCCGGGAAGGCCCGTTTTATACGTTTTATGTAAGATCTTAATTTACCAGAAGCAGCACATTTTCGTGTCTGGGGTCCATCTCCATCTTGAGTGTTCCGCATCAAAGTACTTTCCGCGGACATATTTCCCGGGAAGGCCTTCATAAGTTTTTCGTAAGTTTTACTTAGTTTACCAACAGCAGCATATTTTCGCGTCTGGGGTCCATCTCCCTCTTGCGTGTTTCGCATCAAAGTACTTTCCGCGGACACGTTTCCCGGGAAGGCCTTCCATTTCATGTATCTTTCGTAAGCTCTTCGTTTACCAGCAGCACCATAGTTTGGTGTTTTGGGTCCATCTTCCCCTTGAGTGTCATGCATCAAAGTTCTTTTTGCTGACACATTTTCCGGGAAGGCATTCAATTCCATTTTGCTGTTATTTAAGTTCATCTTTTCAAGAGTACCGCCAAGCATTAAAATATCTTCATCAATGCAAGCCTCATGATATTCACTAAAAGCGCCTTGTGATGTTACCGTTGAATATTCTAAACTCTGAAAAAAGTTTAAAAAAAAAAGAAAATGATTAATTAATTTCAAAATGGAAATAGATGTAAAAGAATATTTATCAAAAATATATGTGATCAAATTAATAGAACTTTGAAAAATTACGAATACTTACATCGGAAGAGATGTCTGTGAATACTGCTGATTCAACTTCACTAATTTGCATTGCGTCCATGGTTAGGTTTTTCAATTTTTTCAAAATGATTAGAATTCGAAGTGAAATAATATCCGTAAAATATTGGACAACTTGGAGAATTCGATCTACTGATGTTTACTGTTCAGAAGTGAGATTGATAATGATTTAAAAATATTTAGCAGGTAATATTTATACTTTTTTTTCGCACACATTTTCATTTGGAAGGTTTCGTACATATCATTAGTAATTATAGCTAAACACACAAACTCAATTCATTAGAAATTTTGAACTTAATGACCCTTTTCGGTACATGCCATGCACAAATATTGCATGTTTTATTACCGGAACCTTTGGTAACCAGATATTTTGTAATGTTTTGGCTACCTGAAATTAAGGACATAGAACAATAGTCATTATATAGTTCATAGTCCAATACAAAAAAGAGTTTAACATAACCTGCAAACTCGTGATCGATTTATTGCCTTAATTACACGTTGTCGCCTCATTTTATGTTTTCATATTTAAATTTCACTATGAATAATCTAGAAATTGGACCATAAAGTTATTTTGCACTATGTTCAGAGAACCATACAGACAAATCGCGACGAAGCCCGATCATGGTATAGGATTTCCTATACAAACCTTGTAACTAACAACACCTCTAATGCGTATTCCGAGTACTAATCGAAGTTTGTGACAATATGGCCGTCACAGTTTGGCAAACTCATAGTGAATCGATTAAACTGCGTTAAACTGTTAAAATAAAAAAGTAGAAATAAATAGATTTTAATTTTTTACATTTTTGAAAGTAAAAAATCTTTTGTTCTTTCAATTTTGTGAGATTTTCTGTCCACAAATTCAAAAATATTAAATTATTAAAAATGAATTGGTTGACATAACCTCACTTTTGTGTCACAATCGTGAAAAACCGATCAATTAATTATTAAAACGAAAGTGAGGTTATGTCAACCACTTTATTTTTCATTAATTTGATATTTTTGAATATTGTGCAGTAAATCTCATGAAACTACCGGAAACTAAAAAACAAAACAAAGAATTTTTATTTTTAAAAATGTAAAAAATGAAAATATTTTTATTTCTACTGTTTTAATAATTATTTAATCGGATTATCACGAGTGTGACACAAAAGTGAGGTTATGTCAACCAATTCATTTTTATTAATTTAATATTTTTGAATGGACTTTCTGATCTCACAAAATTGAAAAAACAAAAGATTTTTTATTTTCAAAAATGTAAAAAATTAAAATCTATTTATTTCTACTGTTTTCTTTTAACAGTTTAACGCAGTTTAATCGGTTCATTATGATTTTGCCAAACTGTGACGGCCATATTGTCACAAACTTCGATTAGTACTCGGAATACGCATTAGAGGTGTTGTTAGTTACGGGCATGATCAGGCTTCGAATCGCGATGATGACAAGCAACGTTGACAGTAGCGCCATAGTGCGGTTGCCAGCGAAACTAAAAAATGGCACAAATCTCGATCGCCTAAATCAAAAATGGTACAAATTTGTGGCACCCAACATAAACAGTGGCAACCATAATGAAGTTGCTGCGTTGCCCAGCTGTCATTGTCGTCGCGCTTTGCATACAGATTCTGCTCAAAGTTCAAAAACGGATTGGTTATGAATCAATGAACAATACGTTTGATTATTTTGGACTAATTTTATATTTTCCAACAAAAAGATATCTTTTGGAGTTTTTTATTTATTTTAAATCTGAATTAAAATAATTTTTTACATCTTATTCATGTGTTAAACGATAATAGTTTGCGAAATAAACGTGATTTAGTGAATCCTTCCTCAAAACTGTAATGATCGTCTGGTTTTACTGATGGGTTTTTCATTGTTTTGCATTTTCCCTGCAGTAGATTTGTCCGACTGAGAACCACATTTGATGTCATCAGGATGGTTAAAAACCTGCTTCAATCGACAGAACACCATATTTACGGCCCAATTTTTTGCTTCTTTTGACGTCGCTGGTGTTTGTGGTACTTCTTCATTTGGAAATGCCTTAAAACGTTTTGCTGCCACTTTTCTTGTGGACTTTTGACCGTCAGCTAGCTCTTGAGCTTTACGTTTTGCACCACCAATATACCTTGGAATTTTAAACACCACTTCATTCCCCGATTCTTTTTTGCTTATATTCATATTTTCGAAACTATTATCAAGCATTGAAGTATCCTCATCCATGTCAGTTTCTTGAAAGTTACTTAAAACTTTTTTTGATAGATAATCAAAGCCCTGTTAAAGAAAAACGACAACAATTGATTAATTTTAAAATTTAACTAAGCAAAAAGAGACATATGTTTAATGATATGAATGCTTACGCTTGAAATTTTGGTTGTGAAACCCTTAGATTCAATATCATCCATTTGGTTTGCGTCCATGCTTTGATAATTCGATATTTCAGTTTTTTTAAATTTAGTCACAAAAATGAAATTGACACAGTATATACTATAGAAACTATGTCAAATATCTGGTAGAATTATCTGCACATATGATTATTTTTCAGAAGTCGGGTTGTATATAATCCAAAAAAGTCTATCAGCGGTGCTATTTATACTCATTCAAATGATATTGAACATGAGTTGTCACTAATAGCCATATAATTAGGAGTGAATACAATTTTGCGTTTTTTTGGTATCATTTTTCTCAAACTTGACAGACTAATGATAATTTGATAGCGTAATTAGAAAAACAAATGATGTTTTCTCATCTGTTTTTATTGATTACGGGGGTTGCCATTGCATTTAAGATATTTGAAAAACCTAAAAATAAGAACGCTTATCGTATATTTTAACGTTTTAAATGTTCTTTTGGATAGGAACGATGAAGACAATTTAGAACGGTGGGCGCTGGTGAGGCACTTTTTGTATGGAAATATTTGTTGAAAATTCAACAATACGCCACCTATTAAAAGACAATAAAGATTTTCGTTACTATTGCTGTATTGACACAGCTCTGGCGAACTATATAGCTGTATTGCAAACGTATTAGTACTGAGCACACGACTCCGATTCTGTGTATTCGTGTGTGTTGTAAATTTTGCACAAGCAGCTACGATGACACAGCTCTAGCGAACTACATGGCTATCGCTGTATACTAAGAAACACACTGACTTCGATTCTGTTTATGCGTATGTGTTATAAATTTTGCACAAGCAGCTATGGTTGACAACTGAGTGCAGAATTTTCAATACAAACGGACACACAATATCAGAGTCAGTGTGTTCTTTAGTAACCAAAATCTTTATGTCTTTTAACAGATGTCGTATTCGTTGAATCTTCAACAAAAAATCTTCGATACCAGCGCCCACCGATATAGAATACAAAATAATGGTGCGAACTTGACAAAAAATATTTGAAAGATTTGTATTTCCTTTCTTTTTTTCAAATAAAAGTAACAAATAATCTCAGTGGACGTTACTGGAAAAAATCAACACTTTCATATTGTGAGTTCGCAGTGTGAATTTTGTACACACAAAATATTTTTCTACTTCAAGTACCTGTTCATACTTACAGCACGTTTTTCTAAAATATTGTGTAAAATATTTTAAAGTACCTATAAACTACGGGAAAAAGCCAAAAAAAAAGTAATATTAAAAATTACCCAATAAATTAAATTTTACCCAATATTTTTGGTAAATGTAAACCAGAAAAATAGTTTGTATGTATATAGTCAAAAAATCATAAAAAAGGCATAAATTATATTTGAATATTATTTATATTTATTTGGATACAATTGCTAGAAAGATACAGTCATTTTGAAATATTTTCTTTTTTTTGGTGGATGGTCCTACACTGATCGTCTTTTCTTAATGGTGGTTTTTTTATCAGCCTTCATTTTTGCTGCAAGAGATTCTTCTGTTTGGATAACAGAGGGTTTGATATATTTATGGCCGTTAAATAACCACTTCAATCCATAGAATATCATATTTGCGACTTTACTTTTTTCTTCTTTGGCTGGATCAGATTTCGGTTGTTGTTCTTCATTTGCCTTTAAACGTTTTGGTTCTGATTTTGATCGAAAATGGTAGCTATCTTCTCGTTCCATATCTTCAGCTTTCCTTTTTCCAGCAGCGACATACGTTGGAGTTTTCAACATCATCCAATTTCTTGAATCCATCGTGCGAAAGTTTTTTGAAATTCGGCAACAATTAATTATTTTCTCAACTTTTTAAGAAGTTTACTATACAGAAGTCAGACTGGTTATCATCCAAATAACTGAAGCAGGTAATATTTATACAATTTCAAAATAATGACAAACATATTTTTTTGTACATATATACATACAATATATACATAACTATGGGAGGATTATGACAACCTAATGATATTTTTATGGTATTGGTAAATCAAACTATACGAACGAACCCGAACCGAACATGAACGTTCGTTGAAACCGCTACTAATGCACAATACATACAATAGCATTTCGGTATTTTTGTGTTTTAATTGTTCGGAAAATATGTATTGTGGTTGTTGAGGTAAGTTACATCGCAATAATATTTTTTCATCTCGAAATTGGACTATTGCACTGAAATTTCGACTCGTAATTTGACTACATTGATTAATTTTTATAAACTTTGCAATAGCATATTCGTCAACAATACATTTTTCCACGAACCTTTTATAATTATTATCAGATTTTAGTAATTAGTTGCAGTTTTTATTGCATCAGAAAGTAGAAGACCAGCTGTGAAATCTTGAAATGCTTTTTGCTCATTATGCATAAGATAAGAACAGACAATATATTTAGCTGCCGTCATCTGGATATTTCAGCTCATCTGGATGCCGTCAGCAGATGATGCGAAGTGAAAACAATAGAAGTGATTGTTATAGTAATACCAGTATATAACAAGCTTATATACCTTTAACAATCACCTCTATTGTTTTCACTTCGTATTATCTGCTGACGATATCCAGATGAGCTGTAATATCCAGATTACGATAGCTAAATATATTGTCTGGATAAGAACATCATCGAAACTATTATAATTAACTGTTGATTAATAATCACTTTGAAAATAATCCTACAATATATGGGTTAGGTTTGATCTGACCCATTGCTAAAACGTAAAATTATAAATTGAATTAAAGTTGCTATCAACTAAATTAACAATTACCTAATCATAAGAATGTGGCAATCAAAATGCGCTTGGCTCATAAATACCCCATAACTGAGCATTATATTCACATTTCAAATTGATTCAGAACACTTGACTTATTTTGATGAATTTTTTGAAACGACATATTTCAACCGTACATTAGTGTGTTGAATTCAAAATCGAAAATCACATAGCGCTACACCCCACTGTATTCGTTTTGTCAATAAATAAAAAAACATAGAATCATAGTAACCATTAGAAACAATATCTATTTATAAAAAACATAGTAGCAATAACAGTATTGACAGGGCGTTTGAAATGAATAGAAAACCAAAATTACCTTTAATTCCAGGATTTGTTGTCCACGTAATTAAATAACACATAAAAATAAAGATGCATCATCATTGGTGTAATTCGATTGTTTTATTCTAGAAACCAAAAGAAAACTATCATTTGCCGCAGTGTTGGTCGCATATTGGTAATACGAGAATTCTGGTCGAGAAGAAACATGCAGATAACAATTGGATTTTAAATGATGGAAAGGTTTGATTTCGGTTAATGGTTCATGATTTTTTAAATACTCATTTATATATTTCACATATTTTTATGCAGATTTTATGTTTCAAGGCGTATTTCCGTCAGAATTTGGTTGGAAGCAGTGGAAGTGCACAGTTTCAAATTCGTAAAGTAAAAATATTATTTTATATGGAGGATGGAACTATTCAGGCAAGGTTTTTAAAAGGAAAAGATTTTCGAAACAATAAATATAAACAAAATTATAACGTGTCTCACAGGTTGTTGAACCGCGAACAGATAATTCCGGTATACCACAAGGGTGTATAGTGAAGCGACAAAGGATTCCCTGCTCGTCATCAACACAAAATCAATGTTTATCAATGCTTGATTTGAATGTTCAAAAGGAAGTTGAGATTTTTGATCGAATTTATATTATCACCGATTGTGATGGATTCACACGATCATATCTCAACAGAGCCGGTATCGAAGTGCCACACGCCATTGAAACACCAAAGTAAGTTTAATATAACATTTTTACGACTAACTGTAATGATATATTTGGTTTTGTTAGGGATCCAATTCATTTGACACGTGAAGAAATGCAGGAATCTCGACCAGTGGCGGGGCCAAGTAAAGTGGAAAAGAAAGAGAACAAATTGGAAAAATTCCTTAGGTTTGACAATCTGTGTTTAAAGTTCGATGCGTACTGGGATGACCGTGATTCTCCGTTGGGAGACATTCATGATTTGATAGTTTACTACTATTTATCCGATGATACAATTCAAATTAACGAAATTTTCAAGCAAGGAAGGCCGACTACATTGTATAAACGCTTAAAATTACCAAAGGTAATTCATTTAATTATTCAATGCTGAGCGATTTGATTCACTTTCGCCCATTTCGAAATGCTAGAGAACGGACGATGTGTTAATGCTTGATCAAAAATCAAATGCGACAGTATTGAATGTTCTCGGTCGTGATTTTATGAATGCAAGATGTATCACAGACAAATTGGACATCGGAAAACCAAATATTGACTTTTATACGGTAACCACAATTTAGAACATTATGTTCCTAATTATGCTAATGTCGAATGTTATGCACACAGAGAAGTAATACAATGAAAACTAGATGACTTGTCGTATAAAATTTGGAACTAGTTGACACTCCGTATAAAATTGTATTTTTCCATCTAATTTCATACCAAACATCGTTTTTGTGTATTCTCTTTTATGCGGATCTTCTTCAAAGCATAAACGGAGAAGAACCGCACAAAAGAGAATACACAAAAACGATGTTTGGTATGAAATTAGATGGAAAAATACAATTTTATACGGAGAGTCAACTAGTTCCACATTTTATACGACAAGTCATCTAGTTTTCATTGTATTACTTCTCTATGTGTGAATATAAAATATAGGATGCCGATTTGAAAATCGGTGAAAAAATCAATGTGTTTGGTCGGTCTGTGATTTTAACGGATTGTGATAAGTTTACGCGAGACTATTATCAACAGAAATATGGAATCGAAGAATTTATTCCAATTGCAAGGCCGAAAGAAACACGATGGAAACAGCCGTATATTGAAAAAGTGATGCCGCCATATAATGGCTGGGGAACGTTTGAAGACTCTGAATCCAGCTGTTATTCGATTCAATTGAAAGTGCCACAGCGTGATATGAAGAAATTTTTGGAGTTAGACAAATGCAACCTCAGATTCAAAGCTCAAATGATTTCAAACATAGACGAGAACAGTGACCGTGAATTTGTAATAACGTATTATTTGAGCGACGATACGATTTCAGTATTTGAAATTGGAAAGCGAAACGCATGTCAATCGGTATATTTTTACACCATAAATTCGAGCGAAATAAGATAAAAATTTAAAATATTTTGTCTTCTTTCGATTTAGCGTGATTTTCTCAAACGGTCCAGATTTTACTTGCCAAATCAGAATGTATATACAAGCCAACGACCCCTTGCATACACACCACAAATGTTTTACATTGGAGCAAATGTGAATTTAAAAGGTTTCGAATATCATTTAACGGATGCTGATGAATTTACATTGAATTTTATGGAATCACATTCATCTGAATTTCCAATGGCCAATATCAGTTCAATCTTAAGTAAAATCAAAGAGGCCATCACGCCAAACTACAAGGAATTCATTGGAAAATATTTGAACGTTGCCGAAACAACATCGAAGCCAGACAGTTTGAACATTTGTTATGATACAACCGCTTTGGCTTTAAGAGATCTTTTGGACAATCGCATTTCCGAACATGAAATCGTCACATTTTTACGGTATTTTAGCGCTAAGAAAGTATCGAACAAATCACAAATATTAGATCGTACGACAATTCAATCGTTGGTTCAAATGGCACTGACCACCAATCTTTGGGATGATTTGGAATCAATCAAAGAATTTATGTATGATGTTGCTCCAGATCATCATAACGGATTCATGCCACCGTCCAAAATACGTACGATAATCAGAGGATGTCGAATTCCAATCAAAGGAGTTATGATCGATGACATGTTTTCGGTGTAAGTTTCCTTTATCTGACTTTTATGTGATTTAATTTAAATATTGACTCTGTTTTAAAGATTGAACAAAGATTCGGATGGGAATATTGATGTCAATGATTTTTTGTATTTTATCGACAATAAAAAGTGCAAGGCACCTCCAGTTCAACCGATCAACGTATATGTAAGCCAATCAATTGAATTCATAGTTGAATGATTATCGTTTATTCTCCATTTCATTACCATATGTTTATACAGAATGAAAATGATAAAAAGTCCTTCAATTCAAGCTATCGACGAGAGCTCGTCGATTGGGCAGCGTTCATTGCCGCGCTGGGATTGGAAACAGAGTTAAAGCAAGAAACAGAATAATTTGGATTTTCATAAAATTTTATTTGAGAAAAAAAAAATATAAAAAAAAGTGTGTCACCACAAAACGCTGATTTGGATAAAATGGGATCAAACACACGTACAAATATTTTTTATTTAAAAATATGGATTGAATAGTAAATTATTGTTCACAACAACATTTCAGCTCAACTTTCCATCATTTCAGCCACTTTGATATTTTATGTTTATATGTTGTTTGCATCGGCCACACAATACTATGCTTTTATATCATTCAATTCGAATATAATGAAAATAGACAGAAAAATAATTAATTAGTAAAAAAATGCACTTCAAAAATGGTTAGTTTTATTGTTAGTATCACACAATGAATATGATGAGTGTGTATGTATTGCACTTTGTTATTTTCTAATTTTTGGTTCTAAAAACCTTCGAAACATACTGAAATCGCTATTGCTCTGCACGAAAAATATTTAAAAAAATGTTTTCAATAAAATTCCGCTTAAATTAAGCTTTTGGCTTTTGTTGTGGTTGTTGTTTTGGTTTTTGTTGTCCTTTTTTGGCGCCGCCACCTTGTTGTTGTGGTGCTGCTGCCGCCTTTGGAGCAGCTTGTTGTTGTTGCGGTGCTGCTGCTTTTGGAGTAGCTTGTTGTTGTTGTGCTGGTGCTGCTGCTTTAGCAGGTTTTTGTTGTTGTTGTTGTGGTGGAGCGTCCTTGGCTGCTGGAACCGGTGTCGGTGCGGTTTGTGGCTGTTGAGTTTTTGGAGCCGATGGTTGTTGTTGCTTTTGGGCTGGTTGCTGTTGTTGTTGCTTTTGCGGTGGATTCTTTTGATCTGATGGAGCCACAGGTGCTGATTCAGTTTTCTTTTCCTGCACATCAGCCTTGGCTGGTACGGCAGCGGAAGGTGCTTTTTCATTGGTTGGTTTTTTGGCCGTGTCCTTCTTTGCATTATCCTTCTTTTGGTTGGTTTCGTTCTTCTTCTGATTGTTATTATTATTACCAGTCTGTTTTTCATTTTTACCTTCAGACTTTTTATCACCTGACTTTGGGCTCTCCTTTTGCTTCACTGGTTCAGCCGGTTTAGTTTGCTCGGCTGGTTTTTTCTCTTCAACAGCGACTGCAGCAGGTGTCGGAGCCTCTTTTTGTTCGGGCTTCTTATTTTCTTTGTTTTCTTCGCTGGTTGGCTGTGATACCGGTTGCTCAACCTTTACAGTGGCCACCACGGCTTCAGCTTTTTTAGCTTCAACATCCTTTTGTGAGACTTCTTCAAAATTTTCTACCAAATTTGGTACGTCGTCTTCCTCAGCTACGCTTGACAACAATTTGTTGCCAGCCACAACATTGTTGGCCAAACGTTTCAATTGATTAAGACCTTCTGGTCCCAATTGTGTTAAAATGCCTGGCAACATCTCAGCAATCTGAAATTTTTTTCACGTTAAATTATAAAGTTTTTCTTTGTTATTGACTTTATTTCTTAATAATCGTACCTGTTTTTGTTCACACTGTCCAGTAATAGCAAATGTATTTGCGGCCAAAGAGGCTTGAGCCTTTGGATTGTTGAAATGTAGAACCGTTCCATCTTCTTTGATCATATTCACTTCTTCAATGCCGGGAATTGTGTTGACCGACAGTTTTTTCAAAGATGATTGCAATTTTTTATCATCGGTAGCGGCTGTTTGGTGTACAATCTTCTTCTTGCGACGTGGTGTACCCTTTCCCCCGATACGCACTTGCGATTGTAATTTTTTCAATTTATCAGCGTTCATTGTTTCTCTCTGTCTATATGTTCAAAAATATACGAGAAAAAAACCATTATGAAAACTGAAAAATGTAAATTCAACACCAAATCCACTTCAAATCAATGTATATCGATAAATTTCGCTTATTTTCCACCAAATAAAAACCAAATGCAAAATATAAAATCTATAAAATATTATTTTTCAGCGAGCACAACTTACACGTGTTCCTATCACACCTAAGAATTTCCCGCAAAAGACGGAAAATTAAAAATGGCTCTGTGAAAAGGAAAATTCTGTCATAGCTTGCGTATGTGTATGTGGATGTGTGTGTGTGTGCGTGAGTGTTTGCCGGACTGAACGAAAGAAAACAAATTTTCGTCGGTTTTTCACAAATGGAAACGTTTAATGAAACATCAAAAATTACGTTGAAAATACAAACGATCTTATAGCCTACGATTATTGTGGACGAAAATATTAATGGATATGCAATAATTCGTTGATTTATATCATAAAAATGGAATCTTAAAAATTGTCATCTATTTGACTCATATCAAAATCATCATCATTATTCCATGCGTCTAAATCAGCTTTGGATTGTTCTTTTCGTTCGACTTCTTGTGTAACATTCCACAGTTCATCGTCGTATTCATCCATCAATGGGTTTTTGGTGTTTCGTTTCTCATTTTTGATGGTCACCTTTTGTGAGGCACGTTGCGTTGCTTTCGGTGCTGCCTCATTGGTTCTTTCCTCGATCAACGTCTGACTTTTGTCGAAAAATTGATTCGGATGTGTAATGCTCTCGTCTTGTGTTTCGTGCATTACACCAAAATAACGTCCGCACGCCAATTGATAATGACCTTTTGTGGCATAAGACACAACTTCTTGTGCGTGTACCGAATTGAATCCGTATAATGTTAATTTGGCTCGTAAGGTATTTGCATCCATTGTCTTGAATGGACATCCATGCGTTTCTTGTGTACCAACATGCTGTGAAATTACTTTCAAACATGAATGTGGTGCCCAGTTCTTTGCTTGACCTTCCTTACCATAATTATAGCGAATGTTATAAGCATAAGATTTTTCGAATTTCTCCAAATCCATCATTTTTGTGAATTCAGCACGCCAAAATCTATGAACGAAATTGATTACATCGTTATAAGTAGTCAAATAACAACAGCAATCAATTGACAAATAAAAACCAACCTCAATGAATCTTCTAATGTAACGCCGATCCCTTTCAAAAATAGTCCATACTGCAAACGGCCATGATGTTTGAGATGATGTTTGGTGCGCAGCGCTTCGTGACATTGACGCATACACAATGGAAACGACTTTTTCGAAAGCTGATCGATGCTTTCAATCGGTATTGAACCCTTTGCGCCGACCACATAATCTTTACCCGTGTAAGATGTGTGCAGTGTTTTCAGTAAATTGGTCAATCGTTCATCATTATCCAAATCGGGAAGTGCTTTAGCCGCCGCAGTCAAACCGTTTTCAATGCAAGCTTCATGTAGACCAGCCACAATTGATATAAAATCTTGCGCTATAACATATGCATAACCGGATTTGATGTAACACCGACGAGACCGTATTAAATCTGGTACCGCCGTAAAATGTACTTTATAAAATTCATCCATTTCAATTTTTGGTATGGGATGCATTGCAGTGGAATGGTATAGGCCATCCTTGACATCTGATTTTTCATCATCGGTAATCGGTTGATAGCTTAATTTATTGATCTCGAGAAATTTCTTGATTTCATCACCGTTCAATGTGCTAAACTTCAATTTAAACCATTCCATTTCACGTGTGATGAACCATCTGTAATTTTATTGAAAAAAAAATTCCAAATTAAAATGATAAAATATGGAAAAAAAAGTGTAAGAATTACCGTCGCAAGTCACTTGATCGGCAATAGGCCAAACGTAATATGAAATGTGAAATATAGTCTCGGCGTCTGGCTTGTAGATCAAGATCAGTAGTGGTTGTATGCCCATCGATTAGCCGTAGATAGCTCTTCATGCCCGCCTGTTTCATTTCCTCTTTAATTTCATTCTTCCAGTCATCCGATAAAACTCGCAGATTTTTCGATGTGGCCTGTTCAAATATGCGAAGTAAATTCACCCGTTCGATGGCATATTCTTCGAATGTTTGCAGTGTGATGTCTTGTGTCGGCGGCAAAATGTACATCATCACATTGTGTGGATAAAGTGTTTCCAAATTTTCCGATTCAATTTTCGCAACTTTGGTGCGATCTCGCGCTTTTCGTGTTGCAAACTCCATTTTTTTATGTTTTCTATACAGTTATTATACAGATTATTTCTTTGAAAATTTAAATTTTGTTAAAGTTTGTGTACAATGCACTATGATCACTACTAATAATTGTATTCAGAGAAATGTCAATGTTTGGCGCCGAAATTCAGTTGTTTTCGTTCAGCAAGCATACACACATACAAAAAGAGTGCGTTTAATGGAAGTCGAATGGCAGTGTAAACGCAGCCTCTATACCAACCAAGTTGAATGTGACAGTTCGTACACGAGTTTGACATTCGCATTTACCCAAATAAATTTGAATTACGAACATGTTTAATATTTTGCTGCAATATTTTGTGTAAATAATGAAAATATGAGATTGTCGTCAGTTCTTTATTCAAAATCGGTGAAAAATGTTTACAAAAAATCGGTGTATCGAATTTATCGTAAAACCGAAAATGGATGGAAAGTTTTAAACAATGTGGATAAAAATGCAAAACCATTGCCGGTTAGAAATTATGACCAAATACAATGTGAAAAGAATGATAAACCAGAATTATCTAAAGATGAATCAACATCCGAATTATCGAAAAATGAATCTACTTGCCGTGAAAATGAAATGAAAATTCAAATGCTATCGGAATCGCTTTACAATCAAATATTTAAAAACAGCAAGAAAAATACGCCCGACCAACACACGATTCAAATGTGAATTTCGCAACTCTTCATATCAATTTCTTCTTGTTGATTAGAACTTGTTTTTTTATGAAAAATTTTCAATCTTTGTTTACATCAGATATCAAAAGACGCTAAAGTCCCATGGCATCAAACTTGGAGAGACTCCACTTTTACCTGATGTTGATATTAAACTACCATCGCTGAAAGGGTCGAATTTGATTGAACATTTTCATGAAATAGCTCGTGAACAATTGTTGCCATACAAAGTGCTCATCGACCAATTGAGTGAGGCTGAAATAGCTCCGATGCCAAAAACATGGAAAATGATTGAAGGTTGGACGCGTTACGATCGTGATGGAAATACTGCTCCCGTACCGTATCCAGGTATGTCATACAAGCATTTGCTCGATGATTATTAATTTAATGGAATTTTTTGTTTTACGGTCCACATATGCAGATGATAAGGCTTTGATATTCGATATTGAAGTGTGTGTACGTGAAGGGAATGCACCAACAATGGCGTGTGCTGTTGGACCAAATTATTGGTATTCATGGTGTAGTCGAAGTTTAACCACACCGATTTCAAGACGAACAAGACGACTTAAGGATGAAAGTATACCAAGAATTTATCGTGCCGATGATATGATTAACATGGAACCGGATGACAGTGCGGAACCGCGAATAATAATCGGTCATAATATTTCATACGATCGTGCTCGTATACGAAATCAATATAATATGAAAGCGACAAAAACTCGATTCCTGGACACAATGTCGATGCATGTATGCGTGTCGGGAGTAACTTCATATCAACGGGCTATGTTAAAATCGTCAAAAGAAATCGAACCCGACGACGAATCATGGAGCTCAATGAGTTCATTGAATGGATTGGTTGATGTTTACAAATTGTATTGTAGTAGTGGCAACGATGGCGATGATAATGGCAAAATAAGCAAAGAGCAGCGATCGATATTTGTCGAAGGATCTTTGAGTGAAATTCAACGGGATTTCCAAAATTTAATGACCTATTGTGCAAACGATGTGATGGCCACTCACAAAGTCTTCAAGGCACTATATCCCATGTTCAACGAACGATTTCCACATCCAGCGACATTGGCCGGTATGCTTGAATTAGGCATGGCATATTTACCAGTGAATTCGAACTGGTCACGTTACATTAATGAATCGGATTTGATCTACAAAGATTTTGACATTGAATCAAAGTATTTGCTGGCAAAGCGAGCAAATCAAGCTTGTCGTCTGCTGCACAATGATGCCTACAAAAAAGATTTATGGCTTTGGGATGAAGATTGGTCGGTGCAAGAGTTATCGTTGAAAAAAACTGCGGCAAAAAAGAAACGAATCAAAAATCAATTGAACAATGACGTAGCTGTAGAAACAAATGAATTCGAACGTTTAAAAAATAAGTTTCAATATTTATTTGATTTCGAAGAGCATCTTCCGAAGCGTCGTCCATTGCTAGCCGGCTATCCAGCTTGGTATCGAAAATTATGCTTGAAGCGAACGGAAGAAAATTGGTCACCGGGACCCGTTGAAATTGGAACCGGAATGCAAATTGCACCAAAGCTATTGTCACTATGTTGGGAAGGTTATCCACTACATTTCATTCGGGAACACGGTTGGGGATTTTTGGTGCCATTCAATAATGATATTCCAGATGAATATAATGGAGCAATTCCATTAGCACAATTGATTGAGAGATGCCCCGCTGCGGATCTATTTTCCAAATCGGCCACACAAAATGAAAGTGAACATGCACTGCGAAAACTATCAAAAGATGTTGAAATGGAACTGGGCAAAAGAGACTATTACTCAAAACCAAAAAAGCAAAATCCGAGCGAAGGACGATACGATGGCACTGGCGTTTGGTGTAACACTGAATTGGAGGGAACTTGTTGGTTTTTTAAATTGCCACACAAAAATGGCACACAATACCGTGTCGGCAATCCATTGGCACGTGATTTTTTAATCAAATTTTCCGAGAATGTTCTAGCTGGCGATAGCATAACAGCTGAGCGCGTCATTCAAATAGCACGAATGCTATCCTATTGGCGAAATAATCGTGATCGAATTACAAATCAAATGGTTGTAACAACGAATGATGGCGAGAATGATGCGACGAATGAAACAACGTCCACGGCGATAATACCACAGGTTGTCGTTTGTGGAACATTAACGAGACGGGCGAGTGAACCGACTTGGATGACAGCAAGCAATGCACAAACGGACAGAATTGGATCCGGTATGTTATACCGCCATTTAAAATTGTTGACTTTATTTTTATACGAATGTATGTTTTTGTTTACACAGAGCTACGAAGTATGGTGCAGGCACCCGAAAAATACCGCATCGTTGGTGCTGATGTTGACAGCCAAGAATTGTGGATTGCATCAGTATTGGGTGATGCCAGTGAAGCCCGAATGCACGGTGCAACTCCATTCGGATGGATGACGTTGAATGGTACGAAATCGAATGCAAGCGACATGCACAGTGTTACAGCCAAAGCAGTCGGCATTTCAAGAGATCACGCCAAAGTATTAAATTACGCACGAATCTATGGTGCTGGCCAACAATTTGCCACTCGACTGCTTAAGCAATTCAATCCCACATTTTCGGACGGTGAGGCCAAATCAAAGGCCACGAAAATGTTCACGCTAACAAAGGGTAAAAAATTGTACTATCCAATGGCCGATTATTTGGATCAGATCGAAGATAAAGGCTACACAAACTATGAGGCAAAAATAATTGCATTGAAATATGGAAAACGAATCGATGAAATGTTCAATAAAAGCAAATGGTATGGTGGCACAGAAAGTGCGATGTTTAATCGTTTAGAAGAGATTGCCGGAAGTGATAAACCGGTTACTCCGTTCTTGGAGTCTCGGCTAAGTCGAGCATTAGAACCGCAAACAGGTACCGTAGATAGATTTTTGCCAACGCGCATCAATTGGGTGGTTCAATCGGGGGCCGTTGATTTTCTGCACTTGATGATGGTGTGCATGCGATGGCTGATGCAAGATAACATTCGATTTTGCTTGAGTTTTCACGATGAAGTTCGATACATTGTTAAAGAAGAATTTGCATACAAAGCTGCGTTGGCCATGCATCTGACCAATCTTTTAACGAGATCGTTTTGTGTTAGCAGGTAAGACTATATATACAAATTATACACAAACAGAGACAGTAATTTTTTTCACTTGAATTTTCATAGAATTGGATTAGATGATTTGCCGCAGTCGATAGCATTTTTTGCATCAGTTGAAGTGGACAAAGCGTTACGTAAGGAGGCACAATTAGATTGTAAAACACCATCGAATCCATATGGATTAAGCATTGGCTATGGAATACCACTGGGCGAATCACTCGATATTTTAAAAGCAATTGAAAAAGCAAACGGCTCCGATTTAAACGAATGGCCATGGCATAAAAAAGCTGTTCAACATTCAAATTGAATTTGATAGTTGGGCTGCTATTTACACCGAAACAAAGGCTTGTGATTACGATTCGCTTAAATTTAAAAAGGAAAATTATTTGTTTTGTATTTAACTGTAATAACAGTTAAAAAAATGTGCAAAGAAATTCAATAATCAAGAGATATTTTGTAATCGAAGAAAATTCAAATAAATGTTGATCAAACAACATTGTAGTTATATTGTGAAGTTGGTTTTGTATTGTGAATGTCAAAGTGTTGTACTTTTTTTCTTAAATTTTGGTTTAACATATTGGATAACACATTCAATGGTTAAAATTCAAGCAGAAACGTTGAAATGTCGGATATATCAAATGAAATTCTCAATTTGGATGACATTACGAACATTGGTCATCCATTTTGGCAAGAAATAGATCGTTCTCCAAATATTCAGTTGTTATGCAGCGAATTTGATAAAGTTTTCTTTGAACGAAAATTGGAACATCGCGTTGACCTCAGATGGGGAATATGTGAGAGTAAGTCTACCGCCGGAGAGGCAACCTGGAAGGACGGAAATATTAAGATTAGATTAAACGAAGTATTGCTGAGTGGAAAGTCGCGCCGAACAATCGTTGAAATTTTACTTGTAAGTAAAAAAAATGACGATATTTTTGTGCAAAATTCAATAAAAAACCATTATCATTACCAGCACGAAATGATCCACGCATATTTGATGATAACCAATACAGAAAACATAAACGATTGCCATGGCGTTAATTTTGTTGTAAAGGTAATTTTTGTCGTGCATAAATTATCACTCATTTTTATGTCTTAAACTTATATGCATCGTTCATAAATCGACTGATTGCTGTGAAGATGACTGAAATCAATGCTCGTACGGGATTGAAGATAGCGGTAACTGGAATGGCAATTCAATTTATTAGAATTCATGTTATAACATCTATTTGTTAATATTCGATTTTGATAGACAACCCACGACTTGAAGGCGGATTTGAAGAAAAAGTTCACTATGTGGCGATGTCAGAACGATTGTCGATCCTTCCCACCATACTTTGGTTTTATATGGACCAGAGACTCGAAAGAACCGACACCAGATGATTTCATGTTTTTTCCATCCAGCATATGTGAACATCGTTTTGAGAAAGATACATTTGTTTACGACAACGAAGTGGACTGTGTAACTGCGTTCAATAAGTTCATAAAGGAAAATGAGGTTAAAATTGAAGCTACATTACCTCAATTCATTTCGAAATTCGGTTACTCAATCATTGTCAGCGATGTCAACAACGACACAGGTTTAGTCGAAGACACTGTCATCACCAATGAGCATTACACAAACTACGATCGTGAGACAAAAGAGTTCATAAAATTCGAAGATTATTTGCCACTTGATCCAAATCATTTGCCGATTCACAAAACAGTCTGCATGATTTGCACCAACACAATTGCAAATGACATTGTACTGGAGCATCTACAGCAATGTACTGGTGTAACGTTCTCACTTGATACTACAGAATCGCTGCCTATATTCAAGATTATTGATTAGATATTGAAGTCAACTGAATGGAAATGGTTATTTATTGATATTTATTTGCAAAGAATTCATTTTTGTAAATGTGTAAGCACAAATTAAAATCCGTTGAATAAATAAGAAAATCTACATCTATTGCAATTTGATTGCCAATCATTTAAAAGAAAATTGAAAATGTTGCACTAGTTTAGATTTTAGCATCTTCATGATTGATGAAATCAAAATCGGCGACAAGCGAAACATGGTCGGATGGAAATAAAATCGACGGTATTGCTGTCAAAGATGTCAACTCTTCATCACTCGGCAACGGAACAGCCTGTAGCATGGTCAAATTGTTTGTTTGATAGAAAATGTAATCTAAACAGGCTGCAAACCCAACCGTGAAATTTGTATATTTCGGATTGTTGTATGCCGACCGAATATCAAAAGGTTGTTGCAACGATACACCCGTAACTGCTTGCTCTGCATCTGTTAAATTGAAAAAGGAGAACCATTCAACAAAATGTTTAAAATATAAGTCGAAAAAAATGACATCAAACATACTGCTCTGAAAGTCGATGAAATCGTCGGGTACGAATTTTTCCGTCATAAGCTTGTAAATTCCACATTCTGGTACGCTATTAAAATCACCACAAAAAATGACCGATACTTGATTTTCATTCAGACTTTGTTCAGCGATGATCCTCTCATAGACATGCTTTACATACAGCATAAAGAAGCCGATTTGCAACAGTCGAATGTGATCGGCATCGGGATGAAAGTAAAGATGTGTGTTTGCAACGATGAGTATTTGACCATTTGCCTTTGATTTTAAAACGGTGACTTGCAGTGCAGTAGACAAAGATACCATTCTTTCGCATAATTTTTCGTTGTTTTTAATTTTCTCATACAATTCGTTAAAATATGGTTTGGTGCTTAGATCGTCGCTCAAATTGAAACCCAAACTTTGTACCAAATCGAATTTATTGCGATTATAAAATGTTGCCACGCCTTCTTGTGTTGTGCCTTTCTTTTGTAAAATTCCCTCCAAACCATCATTTCCGAGGCACAATTTTAGATCCAAATCAAAAATTTTACTATCAACTTCTTGAAGACAACAAATGTCTGCATTATATCCTCGAATTTCTCGAATAAATAAATGTTTTCGATAGTCAATGGCTAGTGCGAATGGTGGACAGTAGGGAAATAGTTCAGTACGCGAAAAATCACTGTCTGCATAGTAATCTGCTAGCAAATTGTATGATACAACTCGAAATTTCGTGCCTTCTAATCGTGTTGGCGTGAATTTTTGCTTATTCTCGAATGCATCGCAACCAGGACCTGCCTCAACCACACAATTTGAAATGAGCTCAACGGTTGGTCCAATTTTGTCATTGCACTTTGGTGTGCACACAAACTACATAAAAGAAAGATCAAACCAAGGTAAATATTAAATGGAAAACTTTTTATTGAAATAAGACGACTTACTTTTAGCTTGTGATTTAAATCGGACACTTTAACTCGATAGAAAAATCCGTCCTCCTCACATTTGTCCCAATCAGTAATTGGGCTGTTTTCATTCGGACTGGGCTTTCCTCGATACCTAAGGGGAGAATCACAAAAGAAAAGAATTAATTTAAAATAATCGACATATAATCGTAAAACAATCATACCATTCGAAAAGACACTTTTCCCGTTCAGTAAATTCAACCTTGAATATTGCCGGATAACAGTCGAATCCCACGAGTATCGTTGATGGCATTGTAAGCTCTTGCACGTATGGGTAATTGTATGCCACTGTAAACTCCTGATCGCACACTTTTAATTTCGATTCCTTAAACTCATGCTCATCCACATTGGCTGGAAATATGATGACATTCAGATACATATATTTTAATGAATCAATTGATATGTTAAACTCACCAAAAATCTCCGACCATGTAGTTGTTTCACATTTGTCCATTAATAATTCAATTTCAACTGGATTTGAATGTGGTGTGGTTTCACTTTCAGCTTCGCCTTTCTTTGGTTTTTTTCTTTTTTTCAGTTTCTTACCATGTTCTTTCTCCACATTCGTTTTGATTCGAGTGAGCGTAGAGCGTATGCTTTCGTTAACATCACGCTGCAAATTAAAAACACGATCGATGCCAACGACTGGATTTTGATAACGAAAAACTAATTCGAAACGAGCAGCATCGGCTGTAGAGCGACGGATGTGCGCAACCCCCATGTTCACAATGCGATTCCAACGAAGCATATAAAAAGGTCTGCAAATAAAAAAAAACATTTTGTTCCATAATTAGCACATTTTTTGTATTTGGAAGCTAGATATGAAAGAACAAAAGAGAAAGAATGAAAATACTGAGAAATCTCATGCTTCATTTTTAGTAAGATATTTTATTTAGTTTTATTCATTCTAAAATCGTTATGAACTTAATTTCACAATTTTACATTATTAAAAAATAAATCGAAAAAATTGCAAATTAAGATCTAAATGATATTCGTCAATTGTTTATTTTGTTGTTAATCAATTTGATTGTTACATTGTTTTGTTTTCACTTCATTTCATATTTTATAATTAAAATATTGTTTTGTTAAATCTTTTTTTTTTTTCATTATTTTTCGATTTCATTTGTCAATTGCTACAAGAAATCGAGTAGAAAAAGAAATTACAACAAAAACATTGTCTACACCACCAGACTGAATGACTAAATAGATTTTATAGAAAATAGGAGAGATAGAGAGATAGTGTGTGTGTGTGTGTGTGTGTGAAAAAAAGTGACAAACAAAAAGTATTTTGTTTAAAAGGCAAATGTGATAGAATGTTGTTCGAGTACATGACTACGTTATTGTTCGATTTTCAAGACGAAAAAAAACTATACCCATTTGATATATATTCTTCAACTACATTTTAATTTCTCTTTCATTTGCGATACGGAAAAAAATATTTATATGTTTTGATTGAACCCATCATCACTCGGAACTAAGGTCGAAATCAATGCACAAAGTATTCAAGCTAGTGTACTTTTTTAAAATTTAAAATCTCCATCATCCTTATACATTCTTTGCAAAGAAAATATAACAATATTGATTTCATTTTTGTTGCTGCTAGTTTCTAAGAAGTACTTTTTCATTTATTTATATATTTTTTTTGTAATTTTATTAATTCGTTTTTTTTGCTTCAAGTGAGTGTTTTTTTTTTATTTTGAGTGGTTTATCTAATCATATCTAATAATTTGTTTGCTTTTTGTATCCGATGCAATGTAAGTTAGATTGAATTTGGGCTTGTTTTTCATCTTTGTGTATATATTAATATTCTTCTATGCATATCATTTTTTTATCTATTTCTTTTAAATACTCTCTTCAATTTGCTCTATTTTATTTTTCATAATTTAATTTGTTTCTTATACCTTCATCGCATATCTTCTTTATTATCTTGTGTTACGTGTGTGTTCTTATAGAATTAGTTGTAAATGTAATCTTTGGATTGATGATTTAGTTAACATTAAAAGTATATAATGATTTTGTTGCTAATGTTCATTTTCTTCGCATGTTTTGGGCGACACTGTTTACTTGACCCCCCAATACATTGTATCGTTATTGTTTATTTAGCTGCTGTTCCACTCTGACTTAATCATTTAATTAAATAATTTTGTTTCATTTCAGTTTTATTTTAATTTCTTAATAAATCTAACACAAGAACACCATCATCATGTTTTTTTTCTCTTAATTTTATATAAATTAATTACAATCTCTCTCGGCATTTCATATATATATATTATTTATAGTAATCTCGTTAAATTATTAAAACGTTGTCATGGTGTTGTTGTTGTTTTTGTTATTCTGTTGGGAATGTGTATTTTATTTTTGTTTATTTTTTCTTTTATGAATCAGTTAAGTGTTCGGTCCTGTGTTCTAATAAACAAATATGTTTCTATACAAATTTGTCTAATTTTTGAAAGCACAAATTTTCAACTATGGACTACAAATGATTTGAGAGAAGAAATTCTTTTGTGTTTTTATTGTTGACATTTGTTACGATTTATGTACAACTATAAAAAAAATTGTGGAATGTCATATAAGGAGCTGGGAATTGGCCGACGATGGAAAGAAAGATAAATTGTCAAGTTTTATTTAGAAAATAATGTTGGAAAAAGAGATTCAAACATTTTTCTTCTTTTTGTTTTGAATAAAGAACGAGTAACCTCACTGAGTCCATTGTCAATAGAGTAACAAATTGGAGAGAAGAGATGCTCTACTAGTGAGTTTACTCGTTCTTTGAGTTCTAAATGGCGAAAATGAAAAGACAAATTTTTTGTTTGTCGTTGACAATGACCATAATAAATGTTTTCTTGGGATATCTTCATAAGATTGAAATGAAAAGTCAGTGTTTATTAGAATAATAAAGCTCTTTTGGTATACCATTCAGTACTTAAAATAAGTAATGATAATGAGCGCGCGCTATTTACAATTAGAATTCTAATCATAATCACTGATTAGATTTTCGATGCTTCACTTAAAAACAAAACTAAATAGCCAAATTGTTTTTTTTCTCTCACATAAAATTGGTTTTAGAATCGGTATCGACTTTTTTTTTCATTTAATCGAATGTGTGTTGTTGTTCATAGTTTTCTAAATGAAATAATAAAATAAAAAATAAAAGAAACAACAAAAGTGAATATTCTCTATTTTCTGCCACAATCATTTGTTTGCAATGTTTTTATTTTATTTAAAATATAATAAAAGCCTTTGTTTAGATTACAACGTTGTTAAATATTTGACTGAATTGCTTTTTTTTCGATAAAAACAGAGAGAAAGAGTGAGAAAACAACAAATAAAAAGACAGTTACTTTATGCAAAATAAATGTGATTGCATTGTATGAGTTGCCGTTGAACGGCTGATAATCGTAGCTCAACACATCGATATCAATTCATTGTATTGGAAAATTATTAATATCACACCAGTTGAATGATTATTTTACATTTCTCACAGAAAAATGAACGGAGAAACGAATGTGGAAAAACTAAACGTATGCAATTTTTCCGTCCAATGTCAAATCAAATTTGTAACGAGATTGGCTTTGTGACATTGGATAGCACTATAATAATGTAATTATTCCATTATTACACACACACACTTGACCCCGAATGATTAATATTTATACCGAGTTTTACTCGGTTTTATTTATGATTTTTTTTCTGGTTTCGATTGCATCGCGATAAATTGAATTAAATTCAAATACTAAAGCATATCTAATTTTTTTAAAGAGAGTGTTGCGCGTGAGTGAGAGTGAAAGTTTCGGTGAAATAATTTATCGTATCATACAAATGAACAACATGCATTTACATTTATCGAAGTAATTCCATTTATATATTTACTCCATTATTAAACGGCTTTGTTTTTTTTTATTTATGGTTGGTTTTGTTTCCTTCTATTTTTCTTTCGGTTTATTTCTTGTTTATTTTTATTCATATTGGTTCACTTGTAGTTGTACCTGCTATGTGAATTTCGGGAAATTTATACAGTTCAATTTTTATTCATTTACTTGATTATTATCCATTCGGTTTAGTTTTTTGTGTTGCGCTGTTGTGTGTTCACATTTTTTATTGCCGTGTTAATTACTGCTCTGGATTAGATCTGATAAAAATACATAACAGAAAAAAGACGAGCACGGAATTCCCGTGTGTCATTTTTTTTAGATAATAATGTGTGTGTGTGTTTGAGTTTGTGTATGTAGAATCACCGTATCCTTTGATTTATGCGAACTTTATTATAACTGTTTAAATTTGGCTCTTTCATAACATTAATATGCTTTCTTTTTTAATTTTATTAAATGTTTTAATAAATTTTTGTTTTCTATTTATTTTATAGTTTGGTTGAATCTGTAGTTTGTTCCACGTTTATTCCTTTGGCGCCACCCCGCTAAATCAGCTTAGTTATTTATTGATTTACATTTAAACGTGCATTTTTAGTGTGTGTGTATGTGTATAGTGTTGAGTGTTGTTTGCTGTTGAATTTTGTTGTTTGCCGTGTTGTTTTTGTGTGTGTCTGTGTACTAGTTTCTGTGTGTTGCGTACATTTTTTTTAAAATTTGTGTCCTTATCAAATTGTTTTAAGTTTCCATTTATCTTCATTTTTGTTTGTTTGTTTAATTTAACAAATTTGCACGAGCATTTCGGCAGTAAGACCTGCCCTAACTAGTTGTTGAAGGCATTGGTGAAACTGGTGATGTTGGACTATGCACTGAATCACGTGGACAACCTGATATCGTAATTGCTAATTTTCGTGATCCAGCATGATCACGATGCTCACATAACCAAATACCTTGCCATGTGCCCAATGTTAATTTACCGTCCGTTATTGGAATACTTAATGAACTACCCAGAAAGCATGCTTTTACATGTGCTGGCATATCGTCGGGTCCTTCACACGAAAAAAAAGAAAAGACATTAGTTGTATCGACCTGTGATTATGAGCTATTGATTGAATTCTAATTGATTGATGAGCTGTAACTTATATTCTAATGAAACTTGGATGATATTCACACAATTAACATTTGGGATTGTACGTACGCCCCATTTTCTTCGATATAAACATTTTGCGTCACCTTTCCGGCAGATTGACATCTCTTTACCATGAGCACGAAATTGTGATGATTTCTCGCAATTTGTCTGTTCGGAAAAGATTTCAACTCATAGACAATATTGTAGTTGGTGTTTGTATTGAATGGCTGACAGCATAGAAAGTAACCAGTGACAGCTATCAGGTATAAGTAAATCCAAATCGCCAATTATATAGCATTTGATCAGCATAGACATTGTAGGTAAAACCTTGATAAGCATACATTTCAATTTTATTGATTACTTTATCTATTTTTTGTCATACGAGCTGTTTGATGCTATCATTTTAAGTTCTTTTTCCGTCAGCTTTTGATCTGTTTTTGGGTGCTAGCGATACTGTGCTTTGAAATTGTTGTAAAAATCGTTCGATTCCTTTCTACCTGTTCTCTGTTCAGAAAATCTTCGAATCCAGCGATGTTTCACATCTTGACATTGTCCCAAATAACATTTATCGGCATCAAATTCAGCTTGCTGTTTACAATATAACTTATAAGCCATTTGTATTATTTTCCGGCAGAAATCCAAAATAAGAATCGTAATATTTGCTTTCCCATCAAAAACAACTCCTTGTTCGATTTGGTATCATAACGAACCTCATTTATAACGGCCGAATATTTTAATTTGAATTTTCGCACCTTTCCGAAACATTCTTCAAATTTGTACCATCGGGGTTGTTTATCCGAAAATATCATTTGTCAACGTGCAAAGAAATTGAACTGTTGACTGGCCGGCAAAACTGAAAATCCTCGTTTTCTAATTGATTTTGCTCTTTGATTGACCAGCGTCTCATTTTGTCCGGCGTATGAGTGAACTGTTTTTTGACGATTTGGATTTTCCCGAGCATTGGACTGGTTGATTTGCGGCGATCGTTTGTAGTTGTTGTTCGTCATTCCACTCGGTTTTTGTTCCTTTTGATTCCTTCGGTTCGATGTGCATTTGCTTCATTCAGCGATTTGCGCCATTATCGAAGAATGTCGAATGTACGCTCGTACAAATGTTAATTGTGTGAATAGCTTGCCTAAGTTTGATTAGAAAAAAAAGTTATAAAAATGATCATGTATACCTTCGCACGAATGACGGTATGCCTCATTTTCCGGTACAATTTTATTCAACATCATTTCCATATCGTCTCGAACATCTGGATCCCAACTCTCGTTTAACGCTAAACTGGCTGATGTGTGCAGAATTTGTATGTGGAATAGGCCAACCGAAAAATGTGACAATTCTGGAATTTGACGTAAAATTTCGTCGGTAACTAAATGAACACCTCGATGCTTTGGTCGTAAATTAATTTTTCTCTGGAACCATGCTGATCCTATTTGAAAGCCTGGATTCGCTGTAGCCATCGTCTTTTCGTCGGAATGTAATTCGGTTATATAGATGACTTTTCGATGTGTAATTCTGTCTTGTGTGTTATTACTATATGTGTGCGTATGAGAACGTGGTTACGTTCTTCTAATCTCTTATGATTTTACACTTCCTCGAACACTTATCACATCGAAGCGAATGAAAATGAAAAATCAGTAGATTTGATTCGAAAAAAAAAATTGCAATTCGCCCCTTGTTTTTTTTAGCTCATTTAAACTGTTTGACACATAAATTCAATACACGTACACACAATCTATTGCTTTTGATTTCACCAAACCGCAATCAACCAACAAAAAAAAAATAACAAGAAATGATTTTTTTCTTTCTCCCTTAGCTTCCTTGTAGCTATAGTACATGTAGTCGTTCGTTTGTCGATTTTGTTGTGTATCGAAGTATCTATATTACTCGTAAATGTTTTCATTCAAATTGGATTATCGTCTATCAAACTTAGTTTCTATTTGATAATATCATTGGATAGAAAATGATAGGGAGAGAGAAACTGTGTGAAAATCCACCAAAAAAATAAACAAAACTATCGAATAAAAAACTTCATTTTGGCCATTTTTTTATTTGTGTCACTGGGTTCACGATTCGTGTGTGATTTTTTTTTTGACAATTATGAAATGTCAGTTCTTTGGGAACGAAATTGTGAACAGAAAAAAAACGCACACAAAAACAAAATTCAGTCATAACTCATACACAGAGAGAGAGAGTGGCACACACAAGTAGCAAGTGACAGGCAAACAGATGCGTGTGCATATGTGTGTAAGCGCACAGTGGTGCTGTTTTTATTTCACAATATTAAGTCAGCTACAGAGACTCAATCGACACCGAATTCCTTTGCCTTTTTTTCCACATTATTTCTCACAGCAATTGTACAACTTAATCGAATTGTTTTTTTGACAATTTCAAATTTTAAGTTGCAATGAAAAAATAGATTATGACTACACATAAAAATATATAAATAAAAAATACGTACGCAAATCGCTTCAACAGATGAATACTCCGCGTGATTGTCGTATGTATTACTTTTTCCTCGATGTGAGATTGTTTATGAATCAAGGAGTTCAATGTGTATGTGCCTGACTTGAGATGGCAACACCTTTAGAATTGACAGTAACTGTTTATATGTATTTATATGTTAGTGGTGGTGGCATGAACGCAGACTACAAAACACTTGCACATAACCTCAAAAACCATACATAAAAAACCAAGTTTTTTTTTTTAAATGAACTGCTTTATTTTCTAAAATTATCGATAAAATCTGTGATTTTTTTGATGCTCTCGGTAAAGTCGGTTTCGGTTTCGCCCGATAATTGTAGAATAATATCTTCGTCATAGGATTCTTTTGCTTCGTTTAGTACCATCTGAAAGATTTCGCACTCGATGTTTCCTTTGATTTTCTTCTCGTTGTAACCACGTTCTTGTAGTCGGTCATACAATATCGTATTGTTGCATTGTACCACAAATACTGCGTCGAACCAACGTTCCGGGAAGAAATCGCATGAATGATATTCGACAACGTTACCCCCAGCTTGTATCTCTGGTTCTAAATGATCCATGAGCTGCAAAACAAAAAAAACAATAACACTTCAGACGAATGTTCGATTTTCAATTGAAAAAAAAGTTGAACAATTTCACAAACTTTGTCTTCATCCAACACGGGACATTCCAATGAATCGTCGTATTCTTCAACGAAACCATTGTCTTTGGCAATTTTCGATACGTCTTGCCATTTCATCGAACGTTGTTTGGCTATTTCGGCGCAAATTCGTGACTTTCCCGTGCCCGGTGTTCCTATGACAATATACATTTTTATTCAATGAAAATTCAATTTAATTTCCGTGAATCATCCAAAATTCTCACCAGTCACAAGAATATTCGGCAATGTCACAGTCATTTTCACGGTTTTTTTAAAAAACAAAGTTTCTTCTTCTTTTTTTGTTACAGCGCACAATGTTCATTTAAATAATGGAATGGCAATACTATGATGTTCGTTTGTTTGGAATACCAAATCTTTTCCATGTGTCAAATTTAACATTGAAACGGATGCGTTCAATGAAACCAAACAAATCATTCTATTTTATCATGAAACACACATCGAGAGAACGTATATACTGGAGTACATTTTTATTGTTTTTAAATAAATAAATGAATGAAAAATTTATAATTATCACCAATATATTAATCATTTTCAAAATATGACGACTTCACAATTTATGAGAAAAAATAATTTTATATTTGTTCAGTTCATTCATCATTATGTATATACAGTGAGTGCTCTATTGTGTGTTGTTGTCTTTATCCTTATCACTATGTAACCCATGTATGGTCAATTGTTTAACTATGTTCAAATGTTCGTGCATTTAAATGAAATAAGCAACGTGAAGTTATTTTAAATGTTTAGTCTGCAAGTTTTCATAGCTCCATTGGCGCAATTGGTTAGCGCGCCGTACTTATAAGACAGTATGCGAAAGCAATGCGGAGGTTGGCAGTTCGACCCTGCCATGGAGCAGTGGTTTTTTTTTATTCCTACCCATAAAAATGTTATTTCGTCATTTTACAGCAAAAAAGTAAAAGTACTTTAACGAAAAATAGCATATTTCAAAAAATTTGATTTGAAATAGTTTTTTTTTTTTGCTGTTTAAAAATGTTGAAGCAAGTGTCGTTTACATTAACGACAAATAAATTAGAAGAAAAAAACACTAAATAACAATATTTAAAAACATGGTTTTTCAAATATGATCATCATTCATATAAAGTTTTTTTTCCGTTTAGCTTGTTGTTTTGATGTCTTTTTGATCAATTTCAACATTAATTTAGATTTTTAAAATAAAAATAAGTCCATTTTGAAGTTCTTCACAACATCTGTATTTCAAAAGAAGAATCGAATTCTAAGAAGAAAGAAATCTAAACTATAAACTTACAACTTTTTTTCTCTTTTTTTTGTAAATCGGTGTAGTTTTGCTGAGTTTTTGTTGATAAAATTTCAATAGAAGTAATTACGAGAATAAAACGTGATAGAAAGAATAGTTCTGAGAGACTCTGTGGCAATAACACATAACTGATAACTACATTGGAAATCAAAATCATCGTCACAAAAAGCGAAATCGTGAATAAAAAAAGATTCAATTTCAAATAATGGCCATTTTACATTCTTATTACCAACCTCTGTTAAAAAAATTACATGCCCTTACCTTTCCCGCTTTAAATATTTGATGCATTTGATCAATGTTCCTATCATTATGTTCCTTCAGATTTATTTATAGATTTCAGCTACTTTTTATACGTGAAACATTTATTTTTTCAATACATGGTATTTTTTGCATATATTCAAGTCGCAGAAATTCCAACAAAACTCACCCTGTTTCCCTGCCAAAAAAAAACTCACGAAATAATAATCGGTACATCATCTCATGTGATAAAAAAGTCCGGCGAACTCACTTGGATAAGATAACATTTGTTCATTTTTTTCCTTTTCATTTTGACCAATGGATCTAGTGTAACCATACATTTTTTATTATGAAAGAGTAAAACCATATTAGGAAAATAGATGGTTTTACTTCCAGTAATTTTGCCTAATTTAAGGGTTGCGCCAACTTTTCTCATTTCACATAATCGTAATTTAATTTCAGCCACGTTTCTATTGAAAATATATAATGAATTTTTAATTTCATTCGCTGTAAGGCCAACTTCATTCTTCCAAAAATCCAATTGAGTTTTTATTTGGAATAAAAACAAACAAACAAAACAAAAAGAAATCCTTATGTGATACGTCTCGCATCTTTAAGATCATTTTCACTCCAACCTAGCCGGTTTTTTAAGACTTTTGATTGACCACAAAGTTCATTTGTGCCACGCTATAGCGTTTGAAGACCGTTGAATTTGAGGAAATAGTTGAACGATCTACGTCATGTTTCAGAAGAACAATATGGAATATGTCCATGTTCAAATGGCATTTTGCTCTTGTTACTTTGCGTTTTCCCATCTGTATTTTCTCAGATTGTATTTCACTATAGTCAAATCTATTAACGAACAGGAAAAAAAATCAAATATAAAATGGACCACTTATAACGGAGCATACGGACGCTTTCTGATTTCAGTTCAAAAAATAATAATAACCGCAAGTAATAAAATAAAACATAAGGTTGCTTGCTTCATATAATTTTACTAAATCATAATCAAAGTGTAAAATGTTTGTTCAAGCCAATTGTTCAAAATTCATTTTATTTTTGATAATTTACTTATTTTCTAGGAATGTTTTACATTGAATCGAATATCAGCCACTATAGATAAAAAAACAAATGTTGTGATGATATTTATACGATTCCCGTTGAATGAGTTGTCGGTGGCTGGGCCGGCTTAGACATGAAATCGAAAGCATTCCGAAAAACTTGCTTGCGCACAAAATCAGTGGCGGCTGAATTTAGGTTTGTACTTGATCCATAGTTGCATTTGATGTATCCATACAAGTTTGCACCGTTCAACATGATAGCAATTGATATCAAAACCTAATAAACAAAGTTGAAGAGTCTACAACAATATTCAATTGCTTTTGGAATATATTGACTTACCATCCATTCTAATTTAAATCCGATTAAAGCAAACATAAAGAAAAGTCCCCATATCATTGGAAACAGAACGAGAGCCAACCAGAAAATGCGTTGTTCTTGAGCGTTCACCCGGCCCTGCTAAATAAAAAATGGTAAAACAAATATCGACAAAAACGAAAATGCAAATGATCCATTGAAAAAGTAGCATGCAATCGTAAACACCCCCAGAAAAAGAAAACAACATAGTGATTAGTAAATGAGTTTTACGACAAATTGGATGTTAGTGATTCAATTGTACCTTTCTCGATTCATACACCCAATGCGATTTTCCTTCTTCGTCATCAATGTAATTCCACCATCGTAAGCCGACAAGCAAACGACCAGTTATATTTTTAACCGTCCAAAAATCGGCTGATAATAGTAAAATAACAAACACAAAGCTTGTGATAAATGATTTTATTAACCATCCACAAAAAAGGTATGTAACAACAGCCATTCCACGGAAAAACAAGTGAAAAAATGTCACATATGGATGGCTGAAACAGAAGAACAGTGCGCACATTATTTCATTTGAAAAAAAAAATACGAACAAAATTCTACATTTATAAATTTATCTTACGGCAATTTTCCCGATTCAATTTGATCTTCTTCTCCGAACGGAATTGTGTCATCATCTGGAAAAGGTGCCTGTAATTCGTCGAAAATTGTAATCTTTTGATGACGACAACAAATATACGCCGAACAAAATACATGGTCTAATTCAACTTACACTTCCAACTGATGTCATATTTCTATCACAATTTTCCTATTACTACACTCACAAATAATTACAATAATATTTTTATAACAAATCCAATCCCTTTTAAGGTGAAATTTTTTGTTATTTATGATGAGGAAAATATTTGTGTTTTTATGAAACGTCAGTAGTGCGATTGATACGCGACAGTGTGACAGAGCTGAACTTTCCAATGCGATGACATTTCAAGTATATTGGAAGTCACACATTCCACTGGAACACACAATTGATAAGTGTGTAACAAGAGTTTTGTAAATGTGTTTGCACTACTATGAAAATCAATGGAAAGAAGAAGAAAAAATGAAATACGCAAGAAAAACATTAGAAAACATTCGAAACAACGCGAGACAGAGCAACATTAAAATTATCGGAACGTTTTATTTCAAAAACTACAAAAATATGTAACAAACAGCTGATTTGACAGAACCACAACAATTTGACAGAAATCGTATAATTTTTAATAGTTTCGGAAATAATAAACTTATGCAATCGACAGACCATAATCGGGAATTAAAAACAATGTTTGACCGGAGAAATTTATAGTGTTTTGAGTGTATGTTTATTTTGTCGTGTGTTTCTAACGCTGCTGCTGCATTTTATCGCATTCAAGATTCTCCAGCAAAGTCATAAAATTGATTTGTTCATCAAAAACTATATTGATATCGATGGTCGACGAACCGGATGAAGAACCTCTCCAAAGCGAGAAAAATCCAACTGATAACACCAATTTGGGTTACAAAACCGAAGAAGCCCTAAGGTTACTCTGTGATGAAATTGAAACGGTGGTCAAATCCTACGAAACGAAATTCCACAACGAAAGGTATTGTAGTTTTTCATTGTAAACAATCATTGATTACATACAAATGCAAGTAATTTAACTTTGAAATAATTCAAACATGGCCGTCGTAGCTTACTAACAACAGCCAAGAGTGCGTTTGCAAACGCGTATGAGAGTCCGTTGAGTTGGTTCTCCGTGCTGACAACAGTTTTGGTAATCGTTTGTTTGGCACTAACAAAACATTATTTCACCTCAATATGGGTGCTCTTCATATTATTGGCGACCATAACACTGGTCATCTACGAATGCTATCTGCGTCGCACCGAAATATTTCGCAAGGTGCGACTGATTATAAATGAAATTGAATTGGCACAACGATTGTGCAAAGACTGGACGGCGGAAAACTATCCGAATAAAAATAGTCCGCTGTCGCCGTGCGTTACACTTCAGCTATCATATCGAGACGGTCAAATTGTCAATCTGCCATGGGCTCTGCTTGTTAAAAATGACATTATTGTAATCAAACCGGGACAACAGGCACCGGGCGATTGCAGCGAAATCTCACCGCCGGGAAAACGAAAATTCAAAATGGGTGAAACGTACGGAATAGCACAGGTAAATATTTTGCAATAATTTAGAGTTCATTTTTGAATCATATTTGAAAATTGCAGCCAATGGATGCTCCATCTAGGCCAAAAATACGTTCGCCTCTGCCAGATATTGTATGCGTTCTTGAGAAGACACCATTTTTGGATAATTTGCGAAAAATCTTGGACAAATCACCCAAACGTCTGCCAACTATTTACAACGAACAACGTCACTTGGTATGTCACATTCATGCACCGCATAATTTTATGAATCGCATAATTTTAATTTGGTTTTTTATTTCAAACGGTGTTGTGTATATAAATAGCTTATCACGAAATACATTCAACACTGGGGTGTTATCGCGTGTTTAATAATGACATTAATTTTTGCTGCTTTGAATTACAACGATAAATTATACGATGACGTTCAACTCAAATGGATGAATTTATTTCTTGAGTTGCCGGTCTGTGCCATTTTGCCAGTCATAAATGGAATGTTTCCAGTCATGTGGATATGCATTAATTTATGGGGCATCGCACGGCTCGAGACGCATTTGGCCCAACCACAAGCAACAACATTGCTCGAACAACAAAGGTCATTTCAAGAAGACCTAGACACACCCACCCTTGAATGTGAAACATCCAAACTTCCATTCAAAGAGGTTCTATTCAATTGGATACGTTTGTGGCAAGGTTATAGCATGCTTTTGGGGCGTTCCTCGAATGTGGTGCAAGGTAAAGATAAATGATATGATGTGCATTAGTATATCTCTCTGCCGTATTTATGTGCGTATGCTATTGTTGTATTTTAGTCCTTGGCTCTGCAACAGCACTTTGTTGTGTCGACAAAAAAGGAATATTATCGTGGCCAAATCCAACGGCTGAAAAAGTATTTATTTTACGTGATGCGGCCGAACGTGATGGCTCCGATACAGAAAGTGACATTTCCTTTGATTCACATGAGAAGTCCAAAAAATCGGATAAAATTGAAAAAGAAATAAGAATCGCTGAAACCGATCAAAGCACCGCAAATAAAACAACCGAAGCAAGCGCGTCAGCAAACAAAAGAGATAGCGGCCGAATTATTGACACACATCAACATCCCGGTACAGTTGCCGAAGTCCTAGACTTAACCCATGATCAATGTAGCCCGTTCCGCATTGATTTCGATGATCACAGCTGGAAAAATCATATTGATTCATTGAAGCCATTGGGTATGGTTATAATTAGTTTGAATTTTTTGTTGTGTGAAAACTAAATTTTCGATTTAATTTTTGGAACGGAAACATTAGGCTTAGCCATTTTAGTAAACACTTGCGACAGCAAAACACAAGAACACTATTCAAAATTTTGTGCTCATGTCACGGCAGTGGCCACGTTAGACAAAGATTTGGTGCCTGTTACGAATCGGTATGAAATCACTGAAACTCAATTGAATACCTTTATGCATGGGTATGTACTAGACATACCAAATTCGTTTGCTAAAAATAAAAATATGTGTGATTTTTCCGTTAAATTATTGCTTTTGTCATTTTGCCATTTCCATTATTTTAAAATGTTGCATGGCTACATTTTCATTTATCGTTTTCATTTTTTCCCATAAAGAAATGTGCATATTTTTATAATTTCGAATTTGGTTCTTTTTTTATTTTACTTTTTTATCATTCAATTCTCATTGTTTTTTTTTGCTTCAAATGTGCTTTAATTTATACGTTCACCGAACATTTCGAAAGAGTAACGTAAAGTTTGAAATTTACCATAGAAGTACAGGCGATAAAAATATTTTACCATTAATTTTTCTTTTGGAAACAATCGAAGGCGATGTCTTTGTGAATTGGCCAAGCAAATTGGTTTTACTGAAAAGGCAACAACGTTATTCAATCTTGAAGGACAGATAGCCAGTTACATGCATTTGGTAAGTGGCTTAGGAAAAATGAGCCAACACAATGTATTATAATCAGATTTTTTGTTCTTTTTTTAGCAACCTGAAGTAGTGAAAAGAGATATTCGCTTTGCACGCCAACTTCGTATCGCATCAAAAGTCAAGGTATTACTTCCTTTTGTCTCATTTTAATCAAATCAAAGAATAATCTTATTTATTTAATTTGGTATATGACAAAGGTTCCATTTCCACATTGTCTTTCGGTTGTGATACGCGATTTGCAAAGTAACTCATTACAAATGCTGACACAAGGAACCGCCGATATTGTGCTAGATTGCTGCGATGATTTTTGGGATGGACAAGGTATGATTTATTTTCATTTTTTTATATCAACATCTGGCTACAACATGTTTCCCTCAATTACAAAGATCTGCGACCGCTGGGACCTCAAGAACGAAAACGTGCGCAAGATTTTTATCAACGAAATGCTCTAACATCGTATTGCACCGCATTCGCCTATCGGCCGTTGAGACATGGTATTGTTGGTGCGTTAAGCGAAACCGCCTATATGGAACTACCACCAGAGTCTGCATACAAAACTAGCGCTCATCGTGATCATGACCGTGGTGGAATTTACTGTACATTCGATGGTGCCCAGAACAACAATTGCTGTGAACCAACAACAGCTGAACTGAAACATTCAATCAGTTCCGACTCATTGCTATTCTCTGACAACAAAGAAGAAGATATTTGTGATGTTGATGGATGCTTCGAAATGCAATGCCATCAGGTGTTCATTGGCATGGTTACCATGCAATATCAAGCTCAAACCGATATGGTATCGATGATTGAGCGCCTTGAACGTGCCTGCATTCGATTTGTCCATTTTAGCAAAGAGAATGAGCTTCGATCACGAGTTTTTTCCGAAAAAATGGGCCTCGAAAGTGGATGGAACTGTCATATCTCATTGCTTAGCAATGATGATCACAGCAATGCACCATCACCACGTAGCCTATCGGGCAATTTTGAACCAATTGTTACTTCCGCCGTGTCAAACAACGAAATCAATGCTGAAGAAGATGGCACCGAATCCGAACTAAATCGATTACTACCTCCATTTACGTATGTTCTTTTTTTTCTTCTTTTTGCGAAATAATTGAATAACGTTACTTTTTTTTAATGCCTCGTGTAGTGGCTTGGAATCAACTAAAAACTTGAGTTCATCAGCTCCTGGAGCAATCAGTGATGAATTGCCAGAACCAAAAAATGGCAGTTTTGATTCTGACACCAAACACCGTATCTCCAAAGATTCTGCGATGGAAGACGAGAACTGCCGATCGCTTAGCGGTTTCACTGACAGCACAGAACAATCGGCCGCAATCAATTTTGATATGTCGAATCGAGTGAGTTTTGACAATTTAATTACAATATATTCATCAAATAATCCAACATTCTCTATTTCTCTTAATCCAAGGCAAAACTTCCGCGGGGAATAAAGAATATTCGACCACATTTGGAAAATGTCGACAATGTACCCTTACTTGTTAGCTTATTCACCGATTGTTCAGCAGAGGCGACGCGTGAAATGATCATGATAATGCAAAACTATGGTGAGATTGTCGTTTGCATTGGCTCCAGTGCAAGTTCGGCAAATGTGGACATATTCCTTCAGGCTGACTGTAGTATTGCTATTGAGCCACTTTATCCTCAGGTTTGAATATCTCTAATCATATCAAATGCAACATATTTAAATTAATTATTTTATTAGGTCTGCCAAAGCATCGCAGCGTATACCGAATCAAATCTACTGAACAATCGAAATACATTGAATATGCAATGCAAAACGCAGTCGTCCAACCAAAGTGTCAAAAATAAAAAGTGGTTCGAATACGAGAAATACGAACCGACACGTTTTCATCGTACATCCACTATATCACCCATCTATATCAGTCGTCAATTGAATGCAATTCCGTGTTCGGTTTCAATATGTCGTGACGATTCATTTTTGATATTGTCAATGATTGAATTGTCACGCCGATTCACGAATGGACTGTGGAACTGTATTCAGGTAAAAGAATGTTAAACTTTAAATTTAAGAAATTCCCATCGAATTTAATTTACTTTTTATTTATAGTTCTGGGTGTGCTGTGGATGCATGTTGGCTATAATCAATACAATTTGTGCATGTTTAGCACTTCCACCGATCCTGACACCATTTTCATCTATCTACTTAATATGTGTGATAGTGCCTCTGATATCAACCACACTAATTAATAACAAATATGATGCGGACATTATGAATCGTGCAACCTCAAAAAAGCACACAAAATTCGATTCAAAAGTTATTGCATACGTGCTATGTTCCTATGGATTTAAATTCATCCCGACAATCATTATAATGGTTTTAGCATATTGCATGCTGATGTCACATCCAGTCGATGCTCTTAATTTGGACAAGGAGAATTTCTATAAAGAAATTCAAGACACATCAAGATGCTTCATCTTTTATTCAATCATTTTACACTTTGGTATGTATGCCGTATCTCATCTCTGTTGGACATTAATATGCTAAATATTCATTATATTACAGTTATAATCTCAATGAGCTTTGTTCATCGCGACTACTCCATATGGAATAAAAGTCCATTCACAAATAGTGCCTGGCTGACTGTTTGCATCGCAATGTACGCATCTCATGTTTATTATCTGTGCAAATAACAAAATGCCATTAACCGATTTTCAATTTCAGATTGTTGTTTCAAACATTTATTTTTGCACTCAATTTATTGCTTTATGAGAAAATTCTTGAGCAAATCTCTATTTATTGGCCGATTATTCTGTTTCTCGGTGGATCGTTGATAATTGTGTTTTTGATTGTCGAATTCTGTAAATGGCAAGAGTTAAAGTAAGAACAAGTGAAGATAAGGGAGCATTTCTACAAATAATGAACCATATTTTTGTAACTATTTTCAGAGCAAACAGTCGTTATCAGCGGCGTGCCAGATTGGACTTTGGCACAAAACTCGGAATGAATTCACCATTTTAGATCAATCTCGACCAAAATGTTTTTTAGTCAAGAGACTACTTATTATACAAGATCTTCCAGTGAATTATTTTCAATTTTACATGAAGACAAAGAACGAATTACTTAATGATAAATTACAGTTACTTAAAGAATGTTTTTGTTTTTAAATAGATCTGAGCATTTAACCAATTTTTGTTTTTTTTTTTAAATATACTAAAAGCCATTTTATCCTTAATTCTGTCACATATTCTCATTTTATGCTCTATTTTGTACACTGTCAAAGAGATTTTTATTATATTTTTCAAACCTGAATAAAAAACTATTAATAAAAATGCGATTACTCATTGGTTTTGCACAAAAATGTATCACATCGCGTTTGGTGTTTATTTACCGGCCCATATAAATGCTGTATATTCCAGTGGTTCTCATCACAATCCAATACGCGCTCACACAATGACAATTAATGAATACATGTAGAAATGAGACATGTATACAATGTTCTCATCAAAACACTCAGACAAATTTCCAGCTTTCGAGTGAATGAGCCGAAACGAGTACACACAGACTCGTGTTGCGCGCATGTGTTTGTGTGTTTTTCATTTTTCGCTCAATGCTTTTGTCTCTGTCTCTTCATGTTTGTTGTACAAAATATGCGATATTTACCTCTACGTCGTATATTACTTTGCAGTATTAATAAAATAACCAATCTGTAAGCACGTATTCTCGTTTGCATGCGTGTTTTTATTCAATTGAATGTCCATTGTTTTTAATAGATTTAACGCAACAAAATATTTGCTGAATTAAAAATCCCCAACAAAGTGAATATAAGTAGATTTTGAATGCGAAAAAGAACGATTGACGATTTATAAGAACGATTTTCTCCACAAAGTAAACAAAACTTTTTTTATTTGTCAGATAGAACAGCTGTTGATACCGAAGAAAAAAAAACTCTTTGTTCGGAAATTTACTAGTGGAAAAAGTTATATTAAAGAACAACAACAACAACATCGACACATTAAATATTTTTGCGTGCAATTTTCGGTGCACTTTCAATCAAAGTGTAATAAGAACAAACACTTTGAGACAAAGAAAAATTGATTTTTTTTCTTGTTAGAATTTTTCGCCGCTTGGGCAGGTAAAATGACAAGTAAAGTTCGTCCGTCGATTTTTTCGTTCGATATGGATATGGATGTGGATGAAACACCAAAGAAACTTAAAGCAGGTAAGACATTCACCATCGGTAAAGTATGTACACATTATTGCGAAATTATTGGAGCGTTGTGGAAACTATTAATATGATATGTGACGATATATGTTGCTCCAATTGGTGTACATTCTGCGACACTGCGGACAATTTCAAGTGCGTCTTAGAAAATGCGCCTCAATGAATCATTCGCAATTATAAAAATAGCATCTCTCTCTCTCTGTCTGTCTCCGTTTGTTTGTCAAATCGATTCTGTTCTCTCGGTTCTATGAGTTTCTGGAACGTGTTAAAAACAAAACTTAAAACATCGATGACGTCATTTTCAACCAAAAATAATAACCAAACGAGTTAGGTGGAAACGATTAAAAACGTTCTTCTAATAATCTTCTCTTGGAGATTAAAATGAAATCGCAACTAAGCGAGATTGTGAAAATGAATTTTTAATTTGATTATTTGATATTCGTGTGTTACTTCAACATTCAATTTCCGTTAATCAACTGAATGTTATGTGTCAGAATGATAAGAAACAAATCCCCATTATTCTGCTTTCGACGAAATTAACAGATAAAAGTCATCCAATTGATAATAAAAGGAGACTGTCATAAATCATGAAACGATCTTTAGTTGCTGCATTCAAATATATCTTTTAATCATATTTTACAATAGCGAGGCTTAATCATGGCTTTCTTTAGTGTCGGCTATTCAATGCATGGATTTATTCAATTATTTCGATTGATAGTATTACATATTGTGAATAATAGCAATTTATTCATTCATGAACACAAATGACTGTGTTAAGACCAAACAAAACGAAATTTTTTTCTTTTTTCCCTCGAGCCAAAAATTGTCAACGCCTTCATCAGCCGTGTTTCATTTTTTTTATTTCGATTAATAAATAGTCTATTTTCAAATAAATAAGAACAAAATTAACACGATTAATGAATGTTTTCAATGTGACAATTTATCGATAAATTATTGCACGAAAGTGTCAAATAGGTGTGTTTATTATAAAACATTTCTGCCACACAAAAAACGAGAACGAATGTTAGTCAAGTCGCCAAATTTGGCATCGCTATGAAATTACACACGTGTTCAGGTATGTTTTATTGCTTGCTGCAAGTAATTTACCATAAAATGTATTTTTTTTTTTTTTTTCAAAGTAAATTGCCAGTGAAATATAATATGAGACATCTGAATTTATGGCTATGCATAAAATCCACTCAGCTCATTAGAAACGACATTGTCGTATATTAGGTGCAAAATGGCACAACACCATGCATTCCAATCAATGTGAAGTGTCTTTGATTTATCGGTTATATTAATTTCATTTGGGCGGCTTTCCCAACCAATCATAATACTACTATGGCGCGTTCGTACAATATTAAATTGGGCTTGTGAATGTTTGCTGCATTATGATTGATGGCACTTATCTGCGTCAATTGTCTGCAAATAAACTGGCGTTTGAATACGTGTAAATTCAATCAATATGCGAATGAATCGAATTGAATTGTCTCGAAAGTGAATTTAAAACTTTTGAATTTAACATATGTTTGTTGAATTAAATTTAGCTTTTGTTATGCGAATGTTACGGAAGTGTTGATTATTGACTTATATTTATAGCACTTTGAACACTAGCAAAAATGTGTTTTATTTTGTAAACACACAATGTTGAAAGCATTAGCCACTGCATTGGACACCATGAATGAAGCGGTAAATGTGAGCAAATGTGTGTATATGCCGGTATTCGAAACCAAAAGTCACACACGATCACAGTGCCTCATAATAGATGTTCATTTGTTCGTTTAGTAGCCCGATATATACGTTGTGCATGTGTATATTTTTATCGGTTTGCGTCGACCGAAAGAGTGAGAGAACAAAAGATATCTAAATGGTTCTCGTTGTCAGTTCGATATATTCGTCAGATGAACGATGTACAAATGCGATTCATTGTAAATACGCAAAAAGATCATTTCAATAAATTGGCTCGTTTGAAAGTTGAAAAACTCATAATTTACAGTGGAAAAAAGTGGTAACGAGTGTTTTCAATTCGCATTAAACATGTTCAATTGACATAAATGCAATGAAAATTATCAGGAAAATTGTATGGTGCCAAGAACTCAAACATTATTACTGTCAGTGTCTCGTGACACATCGAGAGATTTTTTTTTCACTTGGATGAAAGCAAACATAAAATGAAATCAATCGATAAAATGCCAAAATCCATTATTTATCGTTTAACAAGTTGACGGAAAAACATTTAGACAAATTGTGTGAAAAGTTTTTTCCATTATCAATATTGATTACAATTGGGCAGATAAAATGCTGTACTTTTACTGTAGAATATTTGTTTACTTTTGCATTCGGTCATATGATCACATTTGTTTGCTACACGACTTATATTTCAATTTACAATAATTTGATATTTGACAAGGCCATTTTCATACATTTCCATCTGAATCAATCACCCTCAAAATGTGTAGTACAATATGAGTACAGCACCATCTAGAGCTGCCTTGCGATCGTTTTTGTTTGTTTGTTTTTCAAGACGGCGACTAAGACACACGCTAAAAATATATTTTACAATCATTTATTTTTCGCGTGCGAAAATCATTCATTTACGTTTTAAGTTTCGTCGAACTGAACGCTATAAACGTATTTTTGTATGCATGTGCATCTTAAAATAAACAACCGATTTTCGTTTTGTTTTTGTCATGCCCGTTGACGATGCATTCAACGGCGACAAACATTCGCAAATCGTGTGGTTATTAACCTTATTCATGAGTATTCGGTTAGCAGCTGATTGACTCATTTTTTTTTTTTTTTCAAATAATCATTCGAAATGAAAATAATAAAGAGGTTTGGTATTGAATTTAACGAATAAAAAAAATACCCCACGCCCATGAAATATAACTGATGTGCAAATATTAAATCAAGCATATTTGAATGGTATACGCTTTTCTAATTATATCCAATTTATATTCCACGCGAGAATGAACGCATTTGAAAAACAAAGCAATTGTGAAAATTGCAACCTCAGAAAAAGAGTACACCAAATATTTAACGTGATTATTGACATTTTGGATACGACAAGATGCGTCAAACAGGCTGTTTGAAACAGTTGAATTTTGAGTATGAATACGAAGCAAAAACAAAGCAAAATTAGAATAAAAAATGACATAAGTAGAATTCGTCTAGAAAATCATAATATATTTTCGCAGTGTTTACTTCTATTTTTTAGACAGCTTTTGATGGCACTCCATTTCAATTATTTTCTTATAACTGAGATTGGCAAATACTGAGGCTATGTCACCTAAACTTGAGTTCTTAGCGCCAAACAATTTTATTTATTGTGAAATCTTTGGTTTTAGTATTTTCAAAAAAGAGAATAAATTGTTCGTTTCCACAGATAGTCAAAGTGAAGGAAATATTGTGATAACTTAGCAAACCGACTTCCCTTCAAAAAAAAATTGTTTAAAAGAAGTGTTCTACGTTTTTGAGTGTAAATATGAGCAGTCGGGGTGTTCTTGTCAGACTTGATTCTGTTGATTCGCTCACTGATTTTCCAATTGAGGCCTCATCACCACCGTCAAGAACACCAAGAAGCCCGAGAAGTCCACATACCATACGCGTCGATTACTTTGATAGATCTCGTCTAGGTAATAATTGTAACAGTGCGAATGCTTTAAATGTCATTATTCATTTGTTGACTACAAATTTAAAAATATACGTACGATTATTTACATACTCATCGATTTACAAATATAGCGTTGACTTGAAAGTTCAAACAATACGATTTATATTCTGGTTATTGTTTATAAATACTACACTCCATATGCACAGCGCCTGTATGGTCAGTACTTTGTAATACGGCGTAAGGGCGCTTATATTGTATGCAACGTTGTTTGTTTAAAAAAAAAATTAGAATAAGATCTGTTTATATTGGGGCATTCAAGACGCTCAACATGTTCAGTCAGACCCTACGCAATGCTGTTGAACTCGAATTATAGCATGTAAAACTAACATATAAATATAAATGGGCAAACAAAGAACAAATCAAACTGATATGGTTATCAACAGTCAGAAGCATTGTATGTGCCAAATGACGACAAACATGTTAGCAAATAGAAATCTAACCAAATGAGACTAAACACACGTACGTATACATAAAGTTTGTGTTAGACGCCACATAACTTTTTCGGAACGAAAACAAAAAAAATCCATTTCTATTCAAATTAGAGGTCAGTGGGTATTATCGCAGCTGATTTCAAATCAGTTAGTTGTTGCTGCTTGTCACGATCACTCCGAAAATAGGACTAAACAGTGTTACTTTATTTCACTTTAGTTTAATTTCTCTTGAGAATAGATTTTATTTGAAAAATCGACGTTTTTTTTGTGAGTTTTGTATTTTCAAAAATAAAATGATGAGCTTTTACGGCATACGAAAATCAAGAAGTGAAGCTGAAATCGGCCATTCTGGAAAATCTGATAAAGATAATGGTATTATTTGTTTTCAATAATGTTGCAGAGAGAGAGAGAGAGAGAGAGTACGATAGCGAATTTCGAAATGACGACAACGCATTGTCCGATTATAAATAGCAATAATATTATGTCAAAAAAAGGAAGAGAATTATCACAAATATGCTTGTTTATAACAACGTATTGTCAATCAAATGTATTCCGATTATCTCGAGAAAATGTGATTTCACAATTGAACGAAAATATTTTGATGTGTATTTACTGATAAGGATTCCACAACTTTTTTTTTCTTCCAAAAATATTGATAACTCTGTTATTTATACTTTTATCTCATTCATATATTTTGTGGGTTTAAAAAAAATAGGTAATGAGTCGCCTTCGATAGCTGGCGAAACAGATGGTGATCCGTTGCCAAATGAAATCTCTGCACCATACGAGGTACCTCAGTTTCCAATCGAGCAGATAGAAAAGAAGCTGCAAATACAACGCCATTTGAATGTAAAGTGAGTGTCACATTTATTTCCGTTATTTTCAAATAATGTTACTGTCAAAGTTGTGTTGTGGTGCGCGATGCGAATAAAATTGAACGTGATTTGTACGTAGGAAGAAAAAACATTCGTTGGGGTGCATTTGTTGCTGCCGTGAAATGAATAAGGTTTCGCTTCGATTCACAGTGTTACTTTCCAGTGTTTGCATGAAACACCATATCTACACTCTCATGATTATGTCTTACTTTGTTTTTGGTTGTCTTTGTTTCTTCTTCATCATCACAGTCCGTCATCACAATTTATGTTTTGTTCAATGGAGCTATCGTTACTAGTTGAAATTTAGCCATTGATATTGACGTGTCGTGTGCAATGAATGTTCAATTCACCATCAGTGGTGGTCGCATTTTGTTACGCTAGTGTATTTTCTTAGTTAAAAATAGAGTTTTATTAGTTAAAAAGAAAATCCAGATTTTCAATTACAATTTAAAACATGTTTTCAAATGACATCGATATCGATAAATTTGTTTTCCATCGATTACAATGTCTTGAACAGCCACAGCAGTTTTCCGTTATTCGACGTCCGTCATTAAGGTAATTTACGATTTGTATAAGCAATTAACATATATGCTGTAGTGTTTTTGCAAAGCATATACACGGAAAAAGGTCCATGAAAACCACTGAAAAGTGAACAATTAAAATAGAAAAGCACACCACAAATTTATGGTAATACAAACAAATTTGCATACAAAACATTCATCGGTTACACTTTTTCGTCTTGTATTTAAATTACTTGGCTATAAAACTAACGGCCAACTCGCCCGACACGTACATTTTCCAAATGTTATAACATAGTCGAGCAAAAGTCTAACCACACCATCCAAATAAGTGGAATAATAAATAATAATTAATTGTGAAGTTGAACTCAAAGTATAAGAATTATTGATTTGTACACTGAGCCATTGTGCGATTCAATTAAGTAATTTTCGATTGGCATTGGTTATTGAGTAGCAGACGCCATTTAGTGAACATTTGAATGCCCATTAAACACACAATTTTTGTTGTTGTTTTTTTTTCGTTGTTGTTTTCCAAACATTTCGTGCCGATTCCCTGGAATTTCTGTCTCATAAACGAGTGCATTTGTACCGCGGCACGGTATTCAATTCCGTGCAAATGGTTGAATGAAATGAATCGATTATGGGGAAAATATTTGCGTGGGCTTATGATGACGTGACTTTTCTTTTGCAGAAAGTCTGTTTGTGTCAAGTTCACGAGGTGAATTTTCATATCCATTTCTCTAACACCACCTCTCTCCGTCTTTACTATTGTATGTCACACAATTTAAATGGAATAAGTAAAACACAATGGCAAAGTATCCGTGCCTGGTCAGAGAAAATTGCGTTTATTGAACTTTATGTCAGTGGTTTGAAACGCACATTCGAAGTTTGTGAATTATCACGAATCGCCTAAGAGCAGAGATGTTTGCAGTGTGTATCTTGTCTTAATTTGTCAATAAAATGTGTTATGCACGCAATTATTTTGAGCCAAACAAATTGCCGAAGAATTGGTAAATTAATTATCACACGGTCGTGCGGTCATTTCAATTTTTGTAATGCGCATACACCAAAAGTAGAACGGTCTCAATTTCTCAATGACATTATTCTTCGATTATTAGTTGTTGCGCCTGGTTGCGCCACCATCACACCAAATGGATACTGAATTCATATTTCGCAATCACAAACTGAATCGTTCGAATGCAATTGAGTTGGTTTTTTTTTAAATTAATTGAAATAATTCGGTCTTATTTTACTAAAATTTCTTCTTTCAATTCGATCGCAGGGCATTGGAAGATAGGCAATCTACAATCGGATTGGGAGATACGGCACACACAAGTGATGATATTCAATTTGATGAACATGAAATTGTGCCACATTTTCAACGAGTTTCAATATCTGGCGAAGATACAAGGTAACGAAAATTGATCACAATAAACAAAATTGATTTGAAATGAAAGAGATTTGATAAAATGTTCATTTTATAGCGGTGTACCTTTGGAAGATTTGGAGCATGCATCCAGCCTAATTATCAAAGCACTTGAAATTCGTGAACGTTACATGAGTCTATCGTTGCAATCGTTTCCACAAACAACCGAACGATTTCTTCGAACCGTGCACAATAAAACGATGTCCGACATTGTTGAATACGAGGATAAGCGTACCACAGCAGGTGGGTTAATTATATTTTCTTCAGTCAACATTATATATTCAGAATGGTCGTTGATATGTTTAGCGTAGAATCAAGGGTTGCATAGAATTTGAATTTTTGACCGTCATTTTTATCATTTTTTTTATTTTCCACAATACACATGATATGATATAAAATTTTATTTTATCAGTAAACAACGTAAAAGATCATAGAAAAAGACTTCAGAAAACGAAAGGTAATTCGTTTGATGGGTTTGCGATACATATTATGTCTTTTGTATACCTGAAACGTAATTTTGTTGCATTAATTTTTGTACATTATTAATTTTTTTGTGTATCTATGTTTTTGAAAGACCAGAGAACAAAACGGTTTTAGCCCGATAGTAAACAAAATGAGACAAAAGCTTAAAAATTCTCGTTGGTTCGTAATTTATTATAGAATAATACAATTTGTGAGAGCTCGCAATGAAAGTAAATATAAATTTATGTCGATTTTCTTTGTGTTTCATTGTAAGCATGTGGATTGATAACAAAGTAAACGAATTATAAATCAATCAAAGAATTGATTCCATGTAATAATATACGATAGTTTCAACTTTTTTCTCTTCTCTTTCGGTCTCCTCACTACAATCATTTCAACAGATCATTCTGTTCACGCTCCATCAACAACAAAAAATCCATGGTCTATTGAATTTCCGGGAAATGCTGGCTATCACATCAAGGCTGTTGACGGTGTTTTCAATTTGTTCAGAGACGCCGAATGTTCGGATAATGTAAATTTTCCGTATTTAAAATTGGATGATTTTGTTCAAGACATGAACTCAATATGTGCTATGATGGCCGACGGACCACTTAAATCATTTTGCTATCGCCGGCTCAGCTATTTGAATTCTAAGTTTCAACTGCACGTTTTGTTGAACGAACTACGTGAACTAGCCTCTCAAAAAGCGGTTCCTCACAGGGATTTTTATAATATTCGGTAAGAATACATGCTCTTCGCACTCATGCTTATTTGGAATTTAGAAAAAGGAGTGATGTAATACTCATTAATTCCATTACAGTAAAGTCGATACACATATTCACGCTGCTTCTTGTATGAATCAAAAACATTTGCTACGTTTTATCAAAAAAACATTGAAGAATAATGCCGACGAAGTTGTTACAGTGACCAAAGGTGTGTGTCTTTGACATGTTCTTTATTTTACAATATATATTTGATTTGTGTTTTTAAATTACAGGAAAGTCAATGACTTTAGCCGATGTATTCCAATCGATGAATTTGACAACCTATGATCTTACTGTTGATATGTTGGACGTCCATGCAGATCGAAATACATTTCATCGTTTTGATAAATTCAATGCGAAATACAACCCGATTGGTGAATCACGATTGCGTGAAGTGTTTTTGAAAACAGACAATTATCTCAATGGAAAATACTTTGCAGAAATTATCAAAGTAAATTATTCCAATATAAAACAATATCGAAATGGAATGAATGGAAAATTTAATGTATTTCTTATATTTGCAGGAAGTGGCATCAGACTTCGAAGAATCGTAAGCATGGTTTTTTTTATTTTACTTGTTTTTTTTATGAACTCCCGCAATAAATCATCACTTTTTCTCCCCGCCGTCGCATAGAAAATATCAAAATGCCGAACTTCGTCTATCAATTTATGGAAAGAATCGTGAAGAATGGTCAAAATTAGCCCAATGGGCAATTGATGGAGATGTCTATTCGGATAACATTCGTTGGCTGATTCAAATTCCACGTTTATATGATATCTTCAAAACAAACAACATTGTGAATTCATTTCAAGAGATCATGGATAATATATTTTTGCCATTGTTTGAAGCGACCAACGAACCGGAAAAGCATCCAGAACTACATCGTTTCTTACAATATGTCATTGGGTTCGATAGCGTTGACGATGAATCGAAACCGGAGAATCCTTTGTTTGATCGTGACGTTACTGTACCAGCTGAATGGACTGTCGAAGACAATCCACCATATGCATACTATATTTACTATATGTATGCAAATATGACGGTATTGAATCAATTCAGAAAGTATGTGTTTCATTTAAAAAATTGTACTTCACGATGAATAATGAGTTTTTATTTCTTTTTGCAGAGAGCGTGGAATGAATACATTTGTTTTGCGGCCTCATTGCGGGTTTGTACTTCATAAAATAATATTTTTGTTTTCTTCAATACAATAAATCAAAAATTTATTCTTCATTTGTAGGGAAGCCGGTCCCGTTCAGCATTTGGTGTGTGGATTTTTGATGTCAGAAAATATTTCACACGGTTTATTGTTGCGCAAAGTGCCTGTTTTGCAATATCTCTATTATTTGGCTCAAATTGGTATTGCGATGTCACCGCTCAGCAATAACTCATTGTTCTTGAACTATCATCGAAATCCACTTCCCGAGTACTTGGCACGAGGTCTCTGTGTCTCCCTAAGTACCGACGATCCACTTCAATTTCACTTTACTAAGGTTTTTTTTATTATATTTTCATACCGTTTTTTTTTCGTTCTCTAGCATTAATCGATTTTGTTCGTGAAATTTTAGGAACCACTGATGGAAGAATATAGTATTGCTGCACAAGTATGGAAACTTAGTTCATGTGATATGTGTGAATTGGCAAGAAACAGGTGATTATTTCATTCAATCCAATTTGATTTGGAAGAATATTTTTAAATTAATTATTCTTTTTCGTCCAGCGTTCTTATGTCCGGGTTCCCTCATAAGGTAGGTCCTTTTGTTCTTGTCTCACAGAATGTGGATAAAATATATTGACTCATTCAAATTCGATAATTACAGATGAAACACCACTGGTTAGGACCAAACTATACACGCGAAGGCGTCGCTGGAAATGACATTACTCGCACAAATGTAAATACAATACATGACATTCAAATGGTTTTATTCATACTCATTTTTTTTCTATACAATTTTAGGTGCCAGATATTCGTGTGTCATATCGTTACGAGACGCTCATAGATGAGTTGACAAACATTTTTAGCAAATACCTCATAAAATGAATTTATATACCCACATTTTGTTTTTAATTTCAAGTATAATATATTTAATGTATTTAAAAAAAAAAACAAATAAATGAATAATATACGAATTCTTTCTTTGAATCAAATAAAATTAATTATAAAATGTGTAAACATCACTTTTATTCACTAGTAAAATGAAATGTTTTATTGAAATTTATGACGGTTTGACAGTGGCATTTACGATGGCTTTGGCAGCGGCTTGGGTGACAGCTGCAATGGTAGTAGTTGATACTTTCGGGTCTGGCATATGAAAGAATAAAAGTTTGAAACCAGCCGCTAGCAAAAAATGTGCCAGAATAATTCCGGCGATCAAGAAAATAGATAGTTTTGAATTTTTTAGTGCTGGACTTAAAATAATTATTAACACGGTGCCAGTTGACAATGCAGCGCCAAAGACAAGCAACCACTGCAGAAATGAAATTTGAATAACCCAAAGGACCGACACAGGAATGTAGATGCCCTGTTAAAGAAAAAAAGTAACAAATCTTTATTTTAAAAAACCACACAACCTTTGCACTATTTATACTCAAGATAGTAAGTAGTCATTTGAATCAAATGTGAAAATTGTTTCAAAGAACTTACCAATGAATAGCCGTAGATACAAATTAAGGTCAGTAAACTTGGTGTGAAAACACCGTTCTGCAATGTTAAAAGAGATGTTTTGAGGTTAGATCATGTCAATTGATTCATTCATAAGCAGAATTTTTTCAAATTTACCTCGTCTTGAATCAACTCAGTATCAACTGGTTGTGCTGTCCATTTGAATGCAGCCCACAATGCAAACGGTACCAAAATAACATAAATGACAATGGTTGTTGCTGCAGTTGATACCAGATTAAAATTGTAACGCCATTCGTAATTTACATTCGCATCATTCAGATAACTTGCTATGTTTCCAGCAATGGCAATGGAGAATACCTTCAGAAATCGGATGTCAATTTATAAAATGGCATTTTCGTTTTGAAAAGTAAAAATGTTACCAGAGTGACAACAATCCAAAATGGTCCATATAAATCGGGATTCGGTGCAATGTCTTGCTTAATGTAGTGAACTGGTGCGCGTCGTGGTACTATCGCTGATACAATACGCTCCCATACGATGTTTGCATCAACATTAAAAAACTGTTGATAAAACTCAATGCTGAATATGGAATGATTACTTCTTGGGCTACTATCAATATCATCTGCACCTTTAATGGAAATGCGCAAAAAGTCATTTAGTTCAGTTTTCGAGATGGAAAATATTTCGATTGTACTTACCATGCAATGGTGACGACTTTTGACGATCTTCATTTTGTAGAATATTCACACTTGCACTCATCGAATTGATAAGATCTTGGAGTGGATCGTTAGTGGTCGATTCATTTGATGTTGTTGTGGCATTTTGATAAGGTGACCGCTGTCGATTCGGCGAATTCACATTGATTTCCGCACTTCCACCATATGTTTGTGTTCCATGCACTGGTGAATATTCTTTGAACGATAGTAAATCGTCGGAATTCATTTTGAAATAAAAGTAATTGCACTGATTTAAAATTTATTCGCCGAAAAAATGAAATAACACGTATTCGTTCTTGATTTAGTTTTGTTATGTCTTATTTGTACAAATTTACATTGTGACGTTTCATGGCTGTCAATATGTATGTCTATGTCATTCTATGTGATTTAGTGTGCTGCCCTCTGTGAATTCATCATACAAATACCGCATTTAAAATCTACTCACTTTTTGGATGAACATTTCACTCATTTTCTTATTATGTATCATTGTGATAAATATAAATTGTACGTTTTATGATTATCATTGCTTGTTAAATAGTAAACAACCGCTGGAAGATCTTCGAGGTGAAATGGCCATCAAGCGTTTTATTTATTTAAAACAAAAAAAAAACATATGAAATGGCATTCGTTTGTAGAAAAAGAGGTGTTGTGTATTATCCATGCAATTTATTCTACGAATTGAGCATGTAAAGCAAATTAAAACAGAGAAAGAGAGATAGACATAGATTTTTCAGTGTAACTAAATTTTCATTTCTATCTTTTCCATTCGGTTTCAATACAATCAATTTTCTATTCGAATGGCACAGTTTTTCTTCGAACATGACTTGGATGCTGTAGAATAAATTTGTTCTATTGGGTGCAGAGAATTTGTTGTGCAGCTTAAATGAACTGACGCGCACAAACACACGCGCGCGCGCCACCAAAAAGATCGTGCTGCTGAATGCAAGAAACTACTAAAATTATAAAAGCTTTAACAAAATTTATATGGTAGCGTGAAAAGTTCCGCAATAAACATAGCCCTCTATTCACGTTATATTCAATTCACCAGCTGCACACAACCATAAAATAAGCTATAATGTGTCAGTTGCTGGGTGTAGTTGCGGTGCATTTGAATCGATTCGCGCACACAAACCAGTTGTATCGACAAGAAAATGCCAAGAATCAACCCGAAATATAAAAATTTATAAGCATTGCATACGCGACAAAACAACAAAAATCTTTGCACAACAAATGCACTGTTCAGAGACCCGACGTTCAATAAGTTAGGAAGGATCCATAACCAAGAATGCATTCGCCGAAAATGCAAGCAACCCAAAGAAGAAAAAAACGAAATGACATCGAAAGCGATTTATTTCAATTTATGGCGATAATAAGATTTTGTTGAAATAATTTTCGAGTTTTTCCATCTGTATAACACACAATGCAAAAAGCAATAACGCTATAGGGAACCAAATAGACAAATGAAAGAATTAACATAAAATATCGTGTGACCAAAAGTCACAGTGAACAACAATAAATTTATTATTGCCATTTATATCACATTAGCAGATTTATTGATTTCATTCCGAAGCGTATATGCATACACAACAATTTGTATTGTTTACTCTAACTCTATATTAAAATGAGATTAGGTGACAAAGTGAAGCGATTTGCTGAAAACGAAATCGCGACATTTGAGAAAGAAAGACGTATGTTGATGATGCGTTTCAATATAATTCATTTGGAATATTTCGATTTATGTTACCATTTGCGAAACCGCAATCCAAACGAGATTTTATTAAATCACTTTAAATTAGATTGATGATGATTGAGAGAGAGGCAGAAAAAATCATCTACAATTGTTGTGTTTAACAATCTGATAGCGTAAACTTGAACTTCGTAAGTTAAATAGAATATTTGATGTCGATTCAATTGCAATTATTTGTCGAGTAAAATTTCTCGTTTCTGAAGTTTTCCAAAGTGACAAACATTGTTACATCAAACTAATTGCAAAAAAAAGGCGGCATTAATTAAATAGTTGATTGGCATTTGAGGTGCACACATACACACAAGCTGCGGTTATGTTTAAATTCGAATGAGTCGTGACATTCAATTTTCTTAATGTGTGACTCGATTTCGTGCACTTGTCTATATGTGGCCAAAATGTAAAATACTGTTGACTCTAAGCCACTTGTACGGCTTCGAATTTCGAGTAAGAACTTTGTTTTTTTTTTCCTTCCTCGTTCGTTTTAAAACACATTAAAAAGTGTGTGTGTGTGTGTGTGTGTGTGTGTGTGTGTGTGTGTGTGTGTGTCGAATCGACTTTTTAATATGGCAAAAGAAGGAAAATGCAACTTGTAAAAACTTTTACACAGAACCTGATTCACATATTGAATCCGTAAAAGAGACCAAACTAATATGTAAAGTATTTATTGGTTGTTGTTAAATCACAGACATCAAATATGAATGAGTGCAAGTTGCTCATCGTACTTATATATGCATATGGCTGAAGACTCAAACCCGAAGCATAGTGACAAATAGACACTCGCTCACACATACACCCGCACTCATTTTCGAAACTTACAAATGTGTTCTGCTTGGGTATTTGAAACAGACGTTTTGAACACAAAACAAGAGTTTATTATGTGGAAAATTTGTATAAAAGGCGTTGAAATCCAATAAAGCTGGTACAGTCTTTCAACGAACGCTCACCAACGACAAATAAACAACAACTATACAAGAAGAGCAACATTAAAATCGCAAGACAAATCATAACAATTCACTTGTTTACAATCTGTGTCTCGACCGTTTTATCTATCTCTCTTTGTATCGTTTTCATCAAAACGCCACACTATAACTTTGTACGAGGAAACTCTTTCTCTCGCCTCGTCGCACACTCTCAATAAAAAGCATAACAACCATAAAACAGTAATCGAGATTTAAGTTTTGTGCGGCATCCGGTGTATTCAGCAATATGGATAAATGGAAAGGAAAAGTGGCATTAGTGTCGGGATCGTCGACAGGAATCGGCGCAAATATTACAAAAGCTTTAGCAAATTCCGGTCTAACTGTGATTGGGCTAGGCCGTCGCGTCGAAGCGATTCAAGTGTGTATCATATTTTTATTGCTTTATTTCCATATTTGATTTGACATTTTCTTAATTCGATTTCATTTAAACTTCGCGATAGGATTTAACAAATCAAATACAGAGCGGCAAAATTATCGCAAAAAAATGTGATGTAACAAATGAAACCGAAGTGTTGGAAGTCTTTAAATGGATTAAAGATACATTCGGCCATTTGAACGTGTTCGTCAATAATGCCGGGGTCATAAAATCCGATTTATTGTTAGGTATGGCACAGAACTATTGATTTTCTACAGTATGGCATGCCATATGTAATTAATTAATTAAGTGGCATTTCAAATGGAATTCATTTGCAGAGAGTAAAACCGAAGATTTTAAAAGTACATTTGATGTTAATGTGATTTCTGCATGTGTGTGCATCCGTGAAAGTGTTAAATTGATTAAGGCAAATGGAAGCTTCGGTCATATTATTGTTATAAACAGGTACATGCTTTTCTTACTCAATTTTAACAAATTAAGTTACATCAGCATGCATTTCAACAAACACGCTTTTCATTTCCATTTAAAATATTTAATTAGAATGGCATTGCTCAATATATAATCATGTATTCGTTTTAACACGTTGTCATTATCACGTGCAGCCGAGTGGTATTTTATTTTCGAGTTTGATAGTTACCTTAATTTTTTTGAAAATTGATTAGAAAAAAAAAAGAGTATACACCATGAACAACCTCATTGTACATTTTATTTCATTTCTAAAGATATAAAACTGCTTTTTTTGACATGATATTTGTATATTTACTTAGTGTTTTGGGTCATCGAATTCCCGATCTTCCAGTGCCACTCTTCAATGTGTATCCAGCAAGTAAATTCGCCTTGACGGCGATAACGCAAACCGTTCGACAGGAACTAGCATTCCAACAAGCCAATATTAAATTAACCGTAAATAAATCCAATTAATATTTTTCAAATCAAATTTAAAATGTCATATTCATGTGAGCGATCCTTCCAAAATTATTTTGAAATGTGATTCATTTCAATTTTGATATTGATAGAGTATTAGTCCAGGGATGGTGAATACCGAATTTTTGACGGCATATGATTCGTCATTCTGTGCAGGACTTCCACGACTTAAATGTGATGACGTAACTGCAGCAGTATTGTATGCACTCAGCACATCCGAGCAAACGCAGGTATGAATTATTTTACTTCAATTTTACCATTTGTAGTTGCATTCATTTTTTTCATCTCGTCAATTTAAACATATTTTCTCCCAGAAAAAACATTTATTACGAAAAATTGTTTTTCATATTAATTTTTTAGGTGGAAGAAGTTATATTGCAAGCAGTGCCAGAGTATTGTTAAGACGACCAAACGAGACGCAAATTTATAAATATTTATGTTTGAAAGATAGAGAATATATTTGAATCGTTTCTGAAAAGTAATAAATGACGGGAAACCATTTGAAGGCATTCCATTGATGTTCGAACGGATGTGATAAAAGCGCTGCTAATAGTTTTCTTTACCCCCACTCCATTCACAGACTTGCAATTCAATGCAAACAGGTTGTGGTCCATAGCTACGTATTCGTTGTAATATATTATTCAAGTTTCTTGGGATTTAAAGGGCTTACAGATTTCTCTATTCTTCCGTCGAACTAACTTTACTTTGATGGAACTTGGTAATTCGTGCATCTGTGGTATATGATATACATTTTAAGTTTATAGTTTTTCGTCGAGTGAATAATTTTCACAAATAGAAAATCAATGGCAACTTCGTGACAAATTGACCAATAAAGTGAACGTCCATTAAAAAATGCATGAAACATTTCATCTCTTGAGTTGCTCTTATGTAAGCTTTTCAAATTGGAGCTTCCGGTTTAACTGTCGTAAGTATGGACTAATGATCACATGCGGAATTTTCAACTTTGTCAGAAGTAGCTTGTTTCTGTCAAAGTTTAGTCTGCTAAAAGCATAACATATCAAAATGCTGATGGATTTAAGCCAAAAGCTGCTCTTAACAGATTTGCTGCCAATGGAATTTGTTTTTACTTAACAACATCGGAATTAGATAAATGCTATTAACAAAATAACACGAATATAAGAGATTTTGGTTGCTACATACATTTTGGATGAACCGTTTTGTACTTTCTCTCATATTTTTAACAAATGTAGAAGGAATTTATTTATTTATTATTTTTTATTCACCGTCTGATCACAGACTGAATTTATCACAAAATTTGTACAATATCGTTCACAATGAAACACCACCCGATCGTATACCCAGCCACCAGCCTTCTCGACTTCGGAGCAGCAGATATCGATTGTGTTCACTGTTTTAATTTCTATATAACACATAAAAGTTCAAAATTAAATTTTTCACCGAACAAATATCACATTTTCCAATTTGACAATATTGTTCCTAAAGATGTGTCTTGTTTCCGATTCTAAAAATATTTCTCTTATCAAGTTAAAGTTTCTACAAGCTACGTAAAATGGCTGATTATGTGCGTAATCCGATGAAAATGCCCTAACTCCAATCAGTTCTGTACTTCTCAAACTTCTTTGGTTCTCATTATATTGCAGTCTTGTATATACAATTTTATCTCTAAGTGAGCTAGACACTATTTTACTTAAAAGCAGATCATAAATTAAAAATATAGAGGCATTTATACGCCGTCTCCAAAGCGGTTGAATATTCAAAACATCACATCTAAACTGATACGGTGGCAATACATAATTCTCATCTCTCTGATATACATATCGTAACGACCAAATAACAAAATCTTTTTGAATTGATTCTATTCTATCGGAGTGGATACGATGGTATGGAAGCCATACAATACTCGCGTATTCCAATTTTGACCTAACTAGTGCACAATATAATATTTTTGCAGATTCTATCGTGTACTTATTTTTTAATGTTCGTTTGATGAAACCCATTGCCGCATGTGCACTGGCTGTAATCGCATCGATGTGATCTGTGAATGTCAGTTTTGTGTCGAAAATAATGCCAAGATCCTTGTGCATTTTGGTCCGTTCAAACGTATGATGGCCGTTGTCGATCGTATAGTCGTAGTTGACTACGTTTGCACCCTTTGCATACGTCATTACGTAGCACTTCTTCAGATTCAAATGCAGGTTGTTTTCGTTACACCAGTCGCTCAATTGATCAATGGCCCTTTGAAAAATGATGGCATCAATGGGCGAATGTATAGTGCGGATCAATTTCAGATCATCTGCATATAATAAAACAAGTGCATTTGACACGGTTTCAACAATGTCGTTTATGAAAATAATAAAGAGACATGGTCCATGGTCCATGGAATGTTAAATTATAAATCGTTATTGGAACTTCTCTACTTTTTCGAATTTCAAGAATTTTATTTGTAGTACCGTAATGCTGTAATGACACAATGAAACCAAAACAATTTCTTTCATAATAAGTGTTGCTTCGATGAAAACAAATTTGATGTGTTTTCAAAATGGAATTGAAGAAAGTTTAATCTCAGTACACAAAGAGTCGTTACACGTCAGTATATTTTCCTTCATCATAGAAAATAGTTCAAAATTTTCAAATAATTTCAAAACGAATGATTTATTTTATTAGTGGAATTTAAATTGGATCTAATTCTTGCATTGTAACCGAGTATCCGCTGTGTGCATTATACAAATTTATCGAAATAGATAATTTTTTAAAAGATTAATAAATTGAAAAATCTAAACCTTCAAATATCCGAATTATAAAGATTACTAATCCAGGTGAAATCTTTGAAAATCGTTAAATCCAGCAAAACTTAAGAATTTCAATAGTCAACAAGTTTGAATTTTTAGTAGCGGCCATAGCAACGGCTTACATAGCATGATAGGACTGTGTCCACTAATTACTGAGCCATGCTCAGTTAGACCCCAGCATGTCTGAGATTTTTTATTTAAAAACCGGTATTTACCGGTTGAAAGAAAATTGTCAATACTCGTATTGAGTCAAAAATGAAAAGTTTGTTCGAGAGGCATTCTTTATTTTTATAGGAATGACTGAAAATCTACCTATATCATATATTTGGCGAAATTCCTAAAAATTCGCAACGTTTTGTGATGATTTCAATTCCAAAAGAGTGTTTTTCGATAGTGTTTCAATGTAGCCGTTTGGAGTTTTTGTACTTGTACTGGCACAAACATAGGGCTACAACTTCTTGATTGTAATTATGGAGTGGAACTGTATGTTGTTAGATTTATCTACATCTTAACGATAGACGGATGATGTATGTGAAGAAAAATGAAGAAGAGCAGAATAGGAATTAAAAATATCATCCGTAATGTGACCTGAGTATTGATTTCATACTGTCTTTGGTTAATATCAGTATTTCATAAATGGATAGATATATCTGCCTGAGCGCTCAGCTCAGCAGATATATTCACACATGCGCGCCATTTAAAAAACTTAGACGTGCTGGGGTCTAACTGAGCATGGCTCATTAATCAGTGGACATAGCCCTATCATGCTATGATAGCCGTTGCTATGGCCGTTATTAAAAATTCAAATTTGACGGCCTTAGAAGAAAACAATAACATACAGAACATGTTGCAAATAATACTAATACAAATTTTATGAGAGCAAAAACCAAATATATAAAGAGACAGCGCAAAAGGCAAATGCAAAACCAGCCTACTTACATGTGTTTCTTATTCTAGACTAAATTGGTCTTTGTTCTGAATGCCACTCATACGACACACACACGCACACATTCATGCCCCTCACTGACACACTATGAGTTATTCAGTCAGTCAAATTCCGACTCGCAAGCCCTTCGCATCGCCGCGAACCGATGCTAGAGTAAGATATAAGCCAAAAGAAACAACACTCATCAATGGCTATGTTAGCTTAAAAAAATAAATAAAGCATATTTAAAATATTTAATCTGAACACAAAAAAAACTGCCTCTTTATTTATTTCTCTCGAACAGTCTTAATTGATGACATAAGATCAATTTTAGTATAGAAATGTGAAAAATAAACCGAAATTGTTATTACTAAATATTAAAACTGAATCAATCCAAATCAGAGAAATTCAAATGAATCGTATCCAGCACCTAGTGCTGGCAATATTTAGTCCGTGCTCGAGGTGACTCCACAATTAACATCCTCGATACTGGATGTTCCACAATTGGAATCAAAATCCTAAATATGAAAAAACGTGAAAAATATATATATAAATTGGTTTGTTGTTTTATTATTCTTTTCTAGTATTTAAGAACAGTTTATGGAATATTTGTACACACAGAGAAAAAAGTTCAGTTCTAGAGGCCAATTGATTTTTATCTAAAAATCTGAACTAAAAAAATTTTTATGAAAAGAATTTTGGTTTTGACAAAAAATGTCACAACGTAAGGGAGCGATGTCTAATGTTTTTTTTTTTCGTGTGAACATTAGACACGATTATTGTTCAAGTAAGCATGTTTTTTAATTATTTTATCATCCGAAAATAAAATAAAATATTGGGGTAACGATGATTGATGATTAAATCAAAAAAAATGTTCAATCAAAAAAAAACCCGGCGTGCTTACTGTACTTTAATGATGTAACATACACAATGAAAAAAACTTAGTATTTTGTGTGTTTACACTAAGCACAGATTCGTTTTCGGATGACTGAGTAATGTTTGCATTTTTAATGCTGAGCATTAATACTGCCCCACGGTAGCATGCGCAATGGCATTGTGCCTGTATGAGCTCCGTACGTCTCACTCTGTGTATACAAGCATATATATACAAATGCCTTTGCGCATGCTACCGAAAGGCAGCGTTAATGCTCGGCATTAAAAATGCAAGCATCACTCAGCCTTCCTAAAACGTAACTCAAACATTAAGTAAACTGCAGTAAACCTTCTGTGATAAAACGTTTCCACGAACACTGTCAATGCATTGAGTATAATGAACCGAGAAAATCAGTATTTGCCGCACATGTACTAGAACAACAACATCGCAACACCGGTGTTGATAACGTTCGATTGCTGAAATGTATAAACAACGACCGAAAACTCGATACATTCAAAAGTCTGTAATGACGCGTTAAACATGGACAACGGATACATCGAAACGAAATTGTTTTGTTTAGTTTGAATGTAGTTGTTTATCTCTTTCTTTAACGCATGTTTTTTCTCAGTTTTATGTATTTAAGTTTTGGCATCAGCATTTTCAGTGTGTTTTTCTTTCTATTTTTGTTACACTGTCTACTTTGAATTCTTTCTTTTGAGTGTGATTTTTTTTACGTCATTGTTTACGATTGTTTTTACCAACGATTGGAAACGCTGCAGTTCAGTGTTTAATTGAGTAGGGCGGCGCCACCGTCTATACATACAAATGTCCATTTAAATCAGCGCCATCTACGCTAAAACATAATTTTGGTTGAAAATGTAACGCCATCATATTCCGACATTGGTTTTTACGTTTCGTTGTACTTGTTTCTGTGTAATCATTTTTTCATTTGGTCGTGTGGTTGATGATG